TAAAAAATTGATCATTAAGATACAAAAATTCAAGGTTGATCGGTGCAATAATACCATAAGCAACAAATGTATTTGTAAAGAAGTTTTTACAGTTAGGTACCTTAATTTATGTGATTACACCTTCAAGAGCGTAACAATTCTTAAAAGGCCGGCAACGCACTCGCACCCGTTTGCATCATCGATATTTAACTATTGAAATTGCATACGAAAAGACTGGATTACTATTGGAAGTTACAGATTAGGGACGCAGATCTTGTAACAGGAAGATTACGTTTATCCAGCCTAGTATCGAAACGTAAGAAACGTCCTGTCTGGACCAACAGTCACCTCGCCATTACCTCATCTAACTAGCAAATTGAAAATAAAATATTATTTTTTATTGATTTATTAACATTTCGTTGCAAGTAAGACAGTACAATTAAAATAATTAAATAAAAAGGAGAGCAATTAGTATCGCTTTCGAGTGATCTTTTCCAGGCATTGAATTATAGGAAATAAATGTATTATTTGTTTTGGTTATTTTTTTCTATCGAATTGGTATTAAGTTGTAAATGGTAGAAAATATGGTCGAAATATTATATAGCAAAATACTTCTTTTTTGTGTATATTTATTTGAACAATGTGACGAAACAACACTACACGATATACGCGAAATCATTATCAAATACGGGAATTTGAAAAAACAAGATTAGAATCTATTGTTATTTTATAATAATAGCTTTTTTAATTCATTTAAATATTCGATAACAAGCAAATTGGAGGCTGACCGTAGTGCTAAAACTTTGGTAACAAATTGCTTGCACGCGCTAGGTGAATTAAAAAAAGCGTCTTATGAAAGAGTCATCCCATACTAATAGTATTGATAAGTGAGTTATAAAAATAAATACGAAAATAGATATGGAACTATGGAAGATTTATCACGGATAAGATCCACCACTTAGCCTTGATAATGATAGATAACTAAATTATAAGATTTCATATTTATTTGAATTTTCCGAAAACAGAGATTAGAAAAAAAAATCATTAAATGTTAACTTTCCCATTTAAAATGTTTCATATTAATAATAATAGACTTTGACTCTATTTGTATCATGAATGTTATTGGCGTGATGTCATTTTATTACAAACAAAACACTCGCGATTTCCCTAATGTAGAGGTTTGCGGATGCTTATGGGCAGCTGCGCTTTTGACAATAAATCAAAACCAACAGGTGTCCCTTTTATATTATTAGTTAAGCAGAAAATTTTAAATTTTTTTCTAATAAAATTATATGAGTAGTATTGATTGAATCCATTAGAAACACAAGAGAAGCAAAAACTAATGAAATAAATTGTGTTTATATGTAATTAATAGTTTAACGAGATCCTGAACTAATGAAAGCCACACAAAAGTATTAAAAATCGTTGAAAGCAATTGCGCAATTACGACTTGTCGCAGGCTTCGCCGGGGTCGGTGCAACACCGCCTACGTAACAGCATCTGATGCACGTAATCTGGTGCAGTTACAGGATATATTCGGCACACAAATACAAGCTCCTAAATGACGCAATTATAAACAAATAATAAATTTACTCACACAAATTTTACGTATGACATTTATTTTATTTATAGAAAACGTCGCACCTACGTTAACGTGCCTCTGCCGTAACGATAGCTGCGTAAGTGAAATAAAACAGATTTAAACATGAAGTGCATACGTACGTGCACTGGATTCAATTCTATCAGCTTACTGGTGTAGATATCAGTCTGGATCCACCGTCGGGACTGTCCTCAGTCAAACGAACATATCAAAAAATAGGGAGTTGAAGTAGATGCGACCGGCTGTTTATAAACATTCAAACAGTCATACGGGACGGGATGCGATCGATACTGGGAGGAGCGCGCTCTGCCACCGGCTAGGCCCACACGGCTACTCACAGCTTCACTACAATATGTATTAACGTGACTACAGTTTACTGAAGCGCGGACGAAAGCAATGTTTGCATTATAATGCGCAGTCTACTACACGAACGCACTGAACGGACGGCGATTGCCGTGTGCGCCTTCCTGGCCGTTACGTCACGCAGTTTTGACAGTTCGCAGTTGAGACACGAGGGTAACCGCTTCATGATCGCCAGCCGTGCTGTGGCGCCACCGTCGGCAACGTGCCGCAACCGCGCTGCGCCGATCGATACCTACTAGATACAGCTAGAACGCGGTGCGCCGCGTGATCCAATTAGGGCTGTCAGAACTACTGTGCTCCTCTCTATACAAGAGTTAAATAAATTGGACTTCCGAACACATCGCTTGTATTTTTCTATTTTATGTCCTTCAGTTGGAGAATTAATTTATGCGAATATAAGTACGTTTTAGTTTCTATACAAAAATGTAGGGTTACGGGGGCGTTAGACGTTAGTCAGCCCTATCATAAAAACCACGAGAATCTAAGTTGTCGACCGTTCTAGAGCTACTTCGCTACTTGCTGCATTATAAATCTGCGTGACGGCGAGCGCACTCTTCTAACTATTGCTTCTAACGGTCCTGCTATTGTCCATGCACGATTCACAGAATTTATCTTGATGGGACTAGGCTTCAAAATAGGTATCTGCGTTAAGATAAGTAATATTGAGAAATAACAAGAAATTATGAACATATTGGGTCTACATAAACTTATTATGCTTGGACATGTTTATTTCAAATAATTACTACATGTACTGTAGGCCGACTCAAATACGCGCTAGAGGCTTTAATTCGTTTCAGGATCAATAGGGATGTGAATTCCGCAAACAAAAACAACATTTTGATTTCTTTAAAAATTTAGTTAATTGCAAATGAATATCTCTGCTCCTCCGATGCTTTTTGATCACGCACTTGACTTATCCTTGGTGTTCAATGTCCAGAACCTGGGTTTCATTTCCGAAAGAAAAAAAAAACAAACGCCTCCGGTTAGAAAGAACAAACAATATATCATTACTAAATAATACCTATATAATTACATATTTTTAATTCTTTATTATTCAAGTTTGCTCTTAAGGGACGACCCTCCACCAATGTGCATCGAAGCGTGTAGCTTCCGTCATATTTCAATGCTTTTTGACTATCAAAAGCAGCTTTCTTCCTTATCTTTCTTTACAGTAACTGTCTACCGTCTGTCTACGGAAAAAATACTATTTACAAACGCACAAGTAAAATACAATTATGTTACAATGTTATTATGGCGCTTCTAAACGGGCCATGTTTTGCTGCAATTGATGGCTGCACTGTTCACCACTAATTGCCCGGCCATTACAAAAATATTTTAATGCAGCTGATGGCCGAACAATCTATGGCTGGGCAATGTGTTGCAATATGTCTGCAATAGTATGGCCCATGATGCAGACTCCTAAACGGGCCACACAAACCGGCAACAATGGCTGACGAAATCACACTTGTCGCAGCAGCTTATATTGTTTTAAAAAAGAAACAGAAAAAGAAGAGATTGTGGATTCGACCTTACTTAAATAGGCGTGAAACTGTAGACAATTTGAGTCTAGAAATATGCCTTGATAATAAATTATTCAAGAACTTTACTAAAATGTCAAAAGCAGTCATTTTTAAGTAGTAACCTAACGTCAAAATGCAGCTGAATGCAAAACACAGAATATAGCAACAGGCACACTTCACTCATAGCAAACTTCATGTCGCGTAGAAAAGGATACACTGTGCCATAACAAAGAGAGTGACTGAAACAACAATAGAACTGGCTGTGCAATATTGCAGTTGAATTCAATAGCCTAGCGATCGTCCGGCCACCCATCGGGGCAACATCGGCCATATGTGGCTATACAAAACATGTTTGGCTATATGGCCGGGACATTACTGCAATATTGCATAGTGTGGCTGCTATTTTTTGCAATGTTGCCGGCCACAGTGTTGCAGCCATCAATTGCAGCAAAACGTGGCCCGTTTAGAAGCGCCATAATAGCTCAATATGGGGTCTGATTAGCCGAGTAATGCAGACTCCTGGCCCTGGGAGACAATACAAGGGAGTCTCCTGCGTGACTCTTACCAGAATGGTGAGACGGCCTTTTCTTAGCCTTAAGTGTCTCCATTGCGCTGTCCTACACATTAATTGGTAGGGAGCTCCATTAATATCGTGTCCCTAGACGGCGTGTGTAAAAAAGCCCGTTGCTTCGTTGCTATACTTATACGTGTAGGCGCACAATAATAGGCCATGTTAACTTGTGAATTGAAGAGCAATCGGTTATAGTAATAGCATTTAATTAGGTAATGTTCTGTTTATGTACTATGGGAATAAAAAAAACAAATTGATTAAGACAATTGTTTATTTAAATATATGGCGTTGAATACCCACACTTGAAGTTTAGCAGACATCCACAAGACAAGCCTCTACAATAAAACAAACTGATAAATATCGCCAAGTTCTTGCGTCACTTATAGCCGTTACATTGTTTCCCATTAGATTCACTTCTATTGGTAAATGAAAATAATATGGTAAAATTAGTAGTAGGTCGAGTATATTTTACAAATAGTTAAGACATCAAGACTTACACAAATACAAGCTACAGTATTCGTTGCGCCGTTTCTCTCTCATTCAATGATCCTGGTTAATATATTTCAATCTGTTCAAGGAACCGCATCATTTGCCTTTTTTTAAAACGACTCAATGAATTATAAAATTCTAAAAAAATCCGATGTAAAAATATACACATACATAAAAAAGTGTTGCGAACATTTCACTGTTTAGCCAGTTTAGCTACATTTTACTATTGCTCAATAAAAAAGATATAACCGGAAAACTGGACGACAGCATAGGTGATCTCACACTTAAATCGATACTGTAATCTTACGCACTATGATAAAGTTGGAACCTGGCGATGTTTAAAAAGCTATCCAAAACAATATATGCCATAAGCACGAACAAAATACACCGCAATTTAAAAAGACTTGTCCCGCATAGTTTACCGTCAAATATTGAATTGTACAACATGGGTTAACTATGTGCTGAGTTTAGAGTGATTTCAGTACACCTTCAGTTGATTCTTGTCATCGAAGCCGGCTGAATGGCCAGCGTTGCGAACGATAAAAGAGTTTCCATCGAAATGCATTCGCCTTTCGCCGCGTCTGTTAAAAAATCCGCTTAGATCTCTACGTGATATGAAATTAAATTAATCGAAAAAGCAGAATACCAAATAAATTTATGTTTCTTTATCTGGTATGCCGTGCACACACTTCCGTTAACTACAATTACTTTTTATAAATAACATCTATGAAACAAACTTTGTTTCGTTTCAACTGAATTAGTAACTATATTTTATACGCTTTCCAAACCAAAACCATTTTATTCATTACACTTCTTTTTTTCACCGAGTTACTTTGAAGACGTATAACATATCTAGGGTATATCGAGACAGCCTCACCGCACAAACAAATGCTGCGTCTGGCCCAATGATGCTGTGCAGTGGAGAAAAGGGCTCGTTATTGACGCTGATCCGTTAGTGGGACTCGTTCGCAGCTGGTACTTGTGGCTGCAGCGATGAATTCTGTCAAATAAATTATAAATAAATGTGACATACATTAAATATTTGTACAAACATTGCCTTTAACTTTATTATTAAATTCTTTTAGTCTATATTTTACATAAACCGAGAACTAAAATAAATTAATATTTACATGTATACAGTAAAAATATGAGTATTCCAAATACTAGACGTTACTAGATTTAACGGCAAGCTCCCGAAAACGTCGAATTACACGACTTGTAATTTTTTTATGGGACTGGAGGCAAATGAGCAGGCGGTCACACTGCCCCGCAGGGGGCTAGTGCGTGTGTTGCCGACCTATCAGGTGGTGCGCTTATTTCTTGTGGTTTGCCTTTATCCATACACTGTCCTTTCTTTTCATTTAACGACGACTTACTTCAAGGCCAGAAAATCGCAATCTATCTCGCTCTATTGACTATGTATAACAAACCTGACAAGACCATCAGCGGTCTGGCTGACGCGAACATTGTTGATGATCCAATTGTCAATTCCATCATCCGTCAACCAGTATTGGGCGGCTTGAAGCAGAGAAAGCGCCTCGTTCACGTAAGAAGGGCCGTGCCGAGACTCGCTTCAACAATACCAAAGGGTTTAAAATACCAAACCATCCAAGTAAGCTCGGGTCACGTTCCCGCATATTTTTCGTTTTCTTTTCCTCAACTTTTAATATTACGTAAACTAACATTTGCTGGGCTAATTTTAACCAAGAAATAACGCTAGTGCGTTCATCTAGGTAAATAGTTTGCGTACAATTATACCTTTATTTAACAACAGAGAATTTGTTTTGAATCTTGATACCAAAAATATTTACCATATTCACTTACAAAACATGAGCGTGGAATAATAACACTTCCCATAGCTAATTTATTTTTCATAAGCTCATTGTTCGAGTAGCATTAAGTTATATATAGCCCAATCTTATTAATGATAAATACTTCGTTTCAATTATGAATTTTCCGTGAAACGATGTTTTACAAGGAAAGTTACTAACATTATAGACTAAAAGCAGCATTTTTTTTGATGGTACCGAAGAATATGTGCATTTTTGAAAGAAAATTATTTCTTTGTGTACTTAGGTACTAGTTTTTCACTAGTTTTGGAGCTACAAGATTTCCGTGTCAGCCTATCGATCAGCATTCAGCACACACAACCTACTCCTACAGTACTTGTAACAATAAGGACTTACTTATAAAATACGTTGAGGGTAAAGTCTTGGCTCATGTCAAGGAAAGTATCCGTTGTTGTTCGTGTTCCAGCCGCATCAACTAGGTATACTAACGCGCACTGCTCTGCGGTGAATGAAACCCCCTTGTACCACATCTTGGCGTACCTTTAAATACCGATTTCCTTGATAGGAGCCTATTAGAGCTGAGCCTACAAAAACTTGGCTATGGTTAGACTAAGCTGTGATTCGAACAGCCTTCTCCGTCGTCTACTAATCATTATTAGTCACGGATATCATTAACACAAGTTCACAGAAACATGGAATATAAGCACACCAGTGTCCTAAACCATTCAAACGTAATAAACAATAAAACATTTACCGTCTAAGAAACAGGTGATCGATCAAAGACCATAATATGATTTTCTACATCAGACAATAAAGTAAGGCCAAGCCAGTAAATGTTTTTATTTTTATCAAAAAATTTATCGTAAATGATTTAAACCGACATATCAAAGTGCCTTCACAATCTAATCGCTAATCGCATATTTTTGAAAGGAAAAACGTATCTAATTTTTAACCAAGAGCCTCTTCATAACTTCACACTAAAAAACTTCCGTCCAAGATGAAACAGTACGTTAGAAAATATGATAGGTCAGTGCCCCTCACAGAAGCTAGGGTTGTACAAACGGCATATTTTAACGTTCCTTACTTATTATTCCCTTGTTGGTGGCGCGCTTGAATCTCGACGCGGGACCCATAATGATACACTCTCCCGTTGGGGTGTATGAGGGCCGCGGCAGCCCCGGACCGGGACAAAGCCAATATTATGTTGTTCTTCGCATTTGTCACTCGCACTGCGCCATCGATTGTCATATCCACCCTTCAAACAATACTAGTACAACTCTACCTCAGATCAATGGGCTTAAAATCAAAGCCTAGGTTCGATTCTTAATATTGCATAACTGTTGTGGGTTGGAAGGATTGTAAAGAAAAAATATCTTTAAGATAGACACTGAATTTGAGTTGTCCCATCTGGGCAAAGACGTAACCTAGAAATATATTTTCACTAACATTCGTAATCGTCTACGTAACGGAAGCCAAACAATATTTTTATGTACGCCATATGCTTTATATAAAGAACTAAAATATAATGAAATATGTACATACAAATATTTCACAAAAATTTTGTGAAATTCGCAACTAAAAAAATATAAATATCCCTCGAAAATGTTTAGCCAACTAATTCTTATACTATGGTCTTCATCAGAAAACCAAATGCACGAGGTAGCATTTTCAAGGATCCCAACATCAAATCCTGATAACGTCAATCAAAATCCAACTCGGCCCGGATGTCTAAGTAATCGGGAAACATTAATAAAAATCTAATGAATTGCCATGGTTTTTAAAGTCGGTAAAATGGTTACTGAAATAGAAAGGCATTTCAATTTGAAAGGGATTTAAACAACTATGATATAAAACCCTAAAGTTTATAAAAAAAAATGGTTTAATTTCATAGCTTATAGAATAATGAAGACGAAACTCACTTGACGCGGTCTCTCAGACGTAGACAGATAGTGCCGTGCGGTGTGACAGACGCATTGTACCCGGCGCCTCCTACCACATCCGTTACCTTTTCAAAACAAAAGGTAAAAGCGTGTATGTACAAACGTAAAGTACAACAGATTCTTAACATGTTACGCTTTTAAACTGTTACCACTTAATACTTATTCATATAAACTAATTGCAGCGTTTTATCGAAAATACTCGTTTTTTTCAATACGTTAATACAATTGGGACATAATGAGTACCTTGTTTTTATCACCAGTTATTATAAGTATCATACCCATATGATGCATGTTCAACGGTCTGAGATGGATAAAACAAAAACCTTTCTTTTTTTTAACTAATTTAAACAGACCACGTTCACAAAATAAACGTTTTCAAGTGAGAACCAGTTCTCATTTAATTTCTAAGTTTGGTGCAAGTAATTTTTTAGATTATGTGGCGAGTAGTAGTACTAGTGTGTTGATATAATTGCCCAACATGTAACATATTTTTTTATATATAAAGCTAAAGATCCAGCCACTTATTCTTATAATTTACTTCAGTAACATGTTCGTTTCTTATACGTATTCTGTATAAGAAACTAACAAAAGAATTCGCGGAGGGCATTCATCTTTATTGGCTTCAACGTTTCGCTCAGCTTTAGTAGACCAGATGCAGTCCATTAAGATAAGCCAATTAAAGCGCCTTCTGAACTTCCTAACCCCATCACTTAATACATACGTCATGTCTTACGGCTGAAATAGGTAATACCTATTCATCATTAGTTGCAGAGAGATTTCAAAATAATAATATAGCAGAATACGTATAAATTAGTTAATGAAAAACTATGCTAAAGAGGCGGTTTTAGAAAAGGTTTATACAACGACCATACCTCCAGTTCTCTCCAGGTGTCAGCATGGTAGATGTCATCCCCGGGATAAAAAGGCGCTTTCCGCTGTAAAGGCGCGCGCCACGGGGGCTGCCAGGCAGTCGCACCAACTAATTCTGCTTGGCCAAGACCACCCTCAAGAAACTTGCTGTAGTCTTGGAACGCAGATACATTTGACTCCTCCTAATTTCGCAATATACAACCTTGATTAATAAAGCTATATCACAGTACAACCACATTTTATTGTTTTAAAATCACAGCGTAAAATATGTACTTAACAGTCTCTACCTCTTAGCCAAATATTGGACGTTAATGCTTATTTGTTTAAGTAATATGTGATATAAGTATCTCTTCAAAGAACTATTAGATCACAAGAAAAAAAACTGTTCATATATGACATCAATAGATCACCTGGTTATATGAATGTGCTGTATATACACTTCTAGGGCGAACCGGCATAACATCCTTTCTGAAGTCTGCAGTAGCCATTCTAAAACTTCTTCAACTTAAACTTGGTAGATCACTCACTGTTTTAAATAAAAAACCAGGTCAACAAAGACTACGGTCGGCAAATATTACATAGTACGAATCATACTTTAAACGACCAAAAAGTGAAGAAAAAAGGCATATATGTCAATTTAATTCCATATTCAAATTTTAATTTATTCTAGTTGGTGTTTAAGTAATGGCCAGTTACGTTTAATCGATTTACTCTGTGACTCTTTAAAAGAATTTATGTTTTGTTTACTGTAACAATTATATCCGATGATCACAGTGACCTTTCGTCCCAAAAAGATGTGGATCGGCAAATCTGCTGCAACGTAAGACATGCCATGCAATAGCGCCGCGGAGAGTATGCATCCCATTATCCCATGATAAAAAATATAGTTGCCAAAAAAAACACTATGTAAACTAAAAAAAAGGGTGCGTGTACTTATGTACGCGCGTAAGAAGTTATACTTCTTTGGCATTATTAAAAATAGTTTTTGATTGCATGCAAATAATTAATTACAATTAAATAATCAAAGACTGGAAAAGGAGTCATTAAAGTCAATAAAGTTCAGTTTACATTTGAAAAATTAATTAAATAAATATTTATTATTATTCTCTTACATTAAACAAATAAAACACTATTTATCTTTAAAACATTTTTATTTCATTATACTATTTATTTTTAAGTGACTCTAATGTCTTCATCAGAATTTCGGTTTGTAATTTTAAATTAATCATTACTTGGTTGTGCATCTACGAGGCTTCTCCAAAACTACTTGCTTTCTGCAACAAATAAGAGAATATTAATTTAAGCTCTGTCCATGCAAAACTTAAAAATTTTTATAATTCATATTATAAATTTTTTTAACACATTTATATTAATATAATTATATAAATGTGTTAATAATATAATTTGTAGCACATGCTACAGACCTGGATAGCAACTTTCTTTTATTCTATTTAGAGATAGAGATAATTTAAATATAATACCGGTGTCTTCCTTGTAGGTTTCTTTGGAGTTGTTTGGGGATTCTTGTTGTTCAGTTCGACATGATTTTCTTTAACCTTTCTTTAATCCTACAAAATAATGAAATTGTTAAGTTATGTTGTCACTGTTGTGCACACCTTTGTTTGGCTTTTTTTAGTATTCAAGTTATGTCAAAACTGATTTATTACCTTGTCATTGTTGGCTTTATTTGCTTTTGGGATATCAATTGTTTCCAAAATGATTTTATTTGTAATAACCTGAAATATATAAATAACATCTATTAATTTAAGTATCATGGTGAGTGGTTCGCACTCAGGTATTAAGGTGTATTATACCCACTGTCCATTATAAGTGGGAATGGGCTCACTTCTGGCAGGACAGAGTTTCGGTACTACAAGTGCAACATGGATGTTTTGAGGTATTACAATATCTCTAACTACCCTGTAGGGGAATAAAGTAATGTTGTAAGCATATGCCTATGCTTGAAAGGTTGAACCTTGAACATCACCATACATCATATTTATAATTAACATTCCTACCTCGACACCATCACAATCAAATTCATTGAAATCTACTTCAAACCATTGTGTCTCGAGAAGGTGATGGTGGCTTTGTTCCACCTCCAGTTTTTGATGTTTCACGGCGATAAGATGACAACTCTTTTTTTTGTATTCAATTTAGTGCACTTCCACTGATTCATCAATTGTTTTTTGTCTCTTGTCCTTATATTTGCTAGATTAAATCTGATGTTTTGATTAAATAATGTGGTCATTTTTTTGAGATGCAGGTACTTATTAAAATGTTTACTTCTCTGTTATATCGCTCCAAGCCTTCATTTTCTCCTTATTAGTATTCGTGCTTATTAAATCTTTGTTCTCAGTTATTGATATATAGGGTCGTAGAATATTTCTAAAAAGTTGCTGTAACAAACGCAATAAACAAAAGCAATGAATAATGGTTCATGTTTCAGTTTTAATCAACAATAATACTCGATAATACATACGGATAGTTAACCTCAATTGTATTGAAGCACTCAGGAAGGTTAGCACAGTTTTTTCACAAATATTTTATATTATTTCACAAATATTTTGTATAATGAAAATAACTAGGTATATAATTATTAATTTTAAAATTTAAACAATAATTAAAACTCCTATATTTGTTTAAAAGGTAAATGTCATTGTCAAATGTCAATTGTCATGGTCATTCAAAATTCTTGTTAAGCTGCTAAGCTAGAATATGCGTGAAGTTAGCTTCACGCATATTCTATTTCTTTTTACTTGTAGTTTGTCTTATTCCCATCTCGCTCGCGCACGCTATATCACACTGCCAATTTTGTGTCATAGGTGCGCGCGCAATCGTAAAATTTCACTCTCATCAATTTTTCATAACGCGCCTAAAGAAGTACAACTTCAAAAACTAAACTATGTACTTGTTTTTTTTAATATGACGCCAAGAAAAGACGTTACTTTTTGACTACTTATACTTACTCTTGTTGTGTTGTGTCTTGAATAAACTAATTAACGAAACTAACTAGGGTTGTGATTTAAATCGACCTAGCGCATCCCATTAGGTATAATATTAGGTCATGACAAGCGAACAACGTAAAATTCGAAGATTACTGATCAAATATAATTGATTATTGAACAATTATAGACTGCCGAATAATTGTACATTGGGGATGGAAACAAGAAATTTTGTTTTAATACAAGAAATAGGTATATAAATTCATGATACATAAGAAATACATTAAAACTTTTTAATTATGTAAAAAAAAAAGCTATATCATAATGAAACCTGTGAGTATTGAAATATAGATAAAAGTTAGTTGTTAGCCGGACTAACATGGGAAATAAGATACAAACGTACCTATAGACATTTTTTTAATTGAATACTTCATTAATACTAGTGCACACTGCACATCTTAATTTACTAAAATGTTTCCTTGTATGAAAACAGGACGTGTTCATTATTTTTATAATATTTATATTTCTTTAGAAAATCCTTCATTTGTCTATCTTGGTCAGTTATCTTTGGTTTTAATTTATTTGGTATGCTTTTACCGTAGACGGACTATGGTATAGACCAGGCATCAGCGTACAGCGTGTGAGATAGCGAATGATTTAGTGTTGCGCACCTCATACATGAGGCACCTCAAATGTCACACTCAAAGTTGTCAAATGTCGCATCACCTCAAACACACATTTTGTACCGCTTCAAACTCGTTGAGGTATTTCAAACGCGGGCTAGGCGCTGAATGTGATTGAGGCGTATGCCATGAATGAGTGAACGGTTGAGATGAATTGTTTTGTCTCATTCTCCCATCCCATGTAGGACAATGACAATAATTAAAAATCGTGTCTGATGAGCAACTGATTAAATCGATATTATTGAATGAGTGACAGTGACTGTTCACTGTGACATATTATTGTAATTGGTTTTTGTTTGCATAAATAACTTGACTTTTTTATTTATTTTTGTATGGTCGAAAGACCTGCGCCATGGAGACAATGGGTTCGTACATAAAGGGACTAACAGTACAGAACAGAATCCTCAAATGAAGTGGTACAATGTATTAACTCATTTTATAAAATGAGGTGGGACATACAAACACTTCAATTTCGTTTGTCCTACCCATCACTGGAATGATTGACATAATTTCATAATGCAACTAATATTGCCATGAGAAAAAATTTCCCTATTTTGTGGGGTAATTTTTACTATAAGAAATACCCCACAAAAAAAAATTCAGGGGGTGCTCACTCACTCCACACGCATATTAATCAGTTACGTTAAATTAAACCACACCCGAACACTCTATACAACCGCTGCGTAGTAACTGTTCTACCTAATACACCATAGACTTTCATTATAGGAAGTGTGTGTAATACACAGACGTAGTTTTTGTACACGCACAGCAGTGTGCGTGAAGTCTAGGGCTACCGACTACACTGTGTACAGTGTACAGTCTACATTGGTTAGGTTAGAAACAATAACAATAACAATTATAACAATATTATTATTATTTTTATTACTTAGTTATAACATTTTTTTTAAAGTGTCTTGAGCATATCCGGGCGTTTTGAGTTGGATGCCAGTTTAATCTACCGGTACACTCAGTCCATTTATTATTTAAAAACGATTCATTCGTAAAACTGAAAAAAGTGGAAAATTTATTTAAGTGCTAGTAGCCCCAACGAGTTATAATCCAACTATTTACAAAGGACACGAAGTGTGGCAACTACCTGACGTAGGTTGATTCGCAATTTAGTCGGTTAGCACTGAAAAATATGTTTGGAATTGTCGTATTTACAGTTTTAATTCATTGAAGACTGCTTATTCTAGACAATATATATTATATAACATATTGCAAAATACACATTCGAATAAATAATTCTTGAACAAAGTTACTGAGTCGTGACAAAGTAAGTTAATTATGCAACAATTCACCATGACTGACACTTTAAATACACCTCCTATAAAGATAAAGTCTTAAATTAATATAGGTTTGACTTGGGTTTCACAGATTTATGACAACATTGTGGCAATGTGGCAAATTGGTGACATCTTGTATACCACCAAGCGCTCGGTGGTAAACAAATAAAACCCGATATGCAAATAGAGACGCACTCGCACTTAAGTATTTCACGTAAATGCCTTCTCTCTTTAGTTATTATTGTTATTTTAGAAGCTCATCTAGTTCTATACTCTATCTACGGCTTTTACATAGTACTAATAAAGTAAAAAGATAAATATCTGGGTAGAAAAGTTAGAAATACAGTCAATAAATTAAAAATGTTACTTACTAATTAAAAGATGTTTAGTTTACTAAAAAGTTAAAATTGTATTTTTAAATTCACGCTTTATTTTTAAAATAATAAGGCAATAAGTCAATGTCGCAGACATAATAAATATTCAGAACATAGTTGCCAAACTCTTGTACTGTAAGTACCAACACGGAAATTCGTAACATCTGTGTAAGATGTGTTTCTAGTCTGTGGTTCACTTTACGACATGGCTACAGAAAACAAATGATAAAATAAAAAAAAGTACCTTGGTTAACTAATGAACATTTTTAGATTTCTTTGTAAATAATGGTAACGATGGTGCACTTATATATTTATATCGTGTATCGAAAATTGTACCTCGATTTGATCTTTGATTATACGAATGTGTGCAAACTCTGTGGTAGAAACTTAACTGCGCACTGTCGCTGAAATGCTCGGAGAGTATTTTAAAATACATTTTACATGATTTTAAACTATAATAACAATTTTTATTTTATGAAATCTATTATTTTAAAAAGATAAGATAAGAAGAAAAGAGAAAAAATCATCAAAAAACTCTATTGGTATCGAAACAAAAACTGGCAATATTTCAGTACTAAGGAACATTTTTTGGATGGTGGTAACATTTTTTGCCCGCCACGTTTCGCCAGCGGCGGCCAGATTTACTTTCCCACTTGCTATCTACTCGGCATTAATTTTACGATCCAGGAAGAATAACGCGCGTGGTACACGATGACTACACCTGCACCAGCTTTTAAAATAGGAATCGTTAAACAGGTAAGGAAAAATTACAAAATGTCTTGTTATTTTCTGATTCCTGTATGTATTGCCTCGTGCCGAGTACATGGATACTCTAATATGCCTTGTTGGCACCGCATTTACAACTGCTCAGTCTTATAAAACGTGTGTCAAAAGTATAAGTTATATGTGAAATATGTTGCGTAAACAGTGAATTATGTTTAATTGTGTCAATTGTGATGTCTTTTCGTAAGTTTTTCTATAGTTATAATACATTCAAGCGTGCAAATGTTCTTCAATATTGACAGGTCACGTTAAGCTTTCAATGTGATAATATATGGATAACATAATTTATTTCACTTAAATGCACTCACCTTCCAGGTTTTATCTGGTGACACGGTTGTCATAAGAAAACAGCCACAAGGGGGACCTCCACCAGAAAAAGTTATTTCACTCTCTGGCGTGACGGCACCGAAGTTAGCTCGACAAAGAACACCTAACAAGTTAGTCTAATGTTTATAAATATAAAAAAAAGAATATAATTAAAAATATGTGTACATATTATATGGCTGTTTAGTAGAAGTTATAAAGTCCTTTTTTAGAGTATGTCATACCACCAGGTTTTGAATTAACTATTCAAATCTACTTTCCCTTGTTAGCCACTATGGCCATGAATACTTGATATCAAATCCTTAATGTATCTGCTGTGCGTATCTATTTGTTTTATATAATTCTGTTTATGCCATATAATAAAAATAAGATAGTCTTTGACAATTATGCTTTACTTATTTGTTATTGCTTATGCAAATTGTATAATATACATATATAGGAATCTTTTTAATAATTTTGTTTTCCTTCTACTTTTATGGAATTTTTACTTAACATTCTCTTTCAAACTCATATTATATATTGAGATTGAAATTATGCTAATACACTGTGCTATCTTAAATTATTTACAAGTATTTTTGAGAGTAAAAAGCAATTACATAAACCAATGACAACTCAACTATAAATAGGAAAGCAATGCTTTTTGCGAATAATATCAAACTACTATAAAGATAGCATATTTCCATTGATTTTCCAAATTCTAAACACATTTTAGTGATAGTGAAACCCCTGATGAACCATTTGCTTGGGAAGCCAGAGAGTATTTAAGAAAGAGGTTGGTTGGAAAAGAAGTTATTTTCACTTCTGAAAAGCCTCCCAACTCTGTTAGCCGTGAATATGGGACTATATGGGCAGGTAAAGACCGTACTAAAGATGAGAATGTGGTGGAAGGCCTTCTTGCTCAAGGTTTTGTTAAAATCAGAGATGGTGCCAGAAATATACCACAATTGAAAAAGCTTGTTGAGCTTGAAGATCAAGCAAAGGCACAGGGAAAGGGTTTATGGGGAACAGATGTGCAGGTAAATTATTTCTCTAGTTTTATTTTATTGTAAGACCAATAAAAATTTATTAGATTTGATGTACAAGTAAGAATTATTTAGTTAAAATTTAATCATAACTTAATGAAACTGATGATACACACATAGCCTGAGTGAACATGCTATAAGATTTTTTATGCTTAACGAAATAATTATTTTTTAGAATCATGTGCGTGACATAAAATGGACAGTTGAGAATCCAAAGGCATTTGTGAACAAATTAAATGGGCAGCCATTGAAAGCTATTATTGAATATGTCCGTGATGGATCAACAGTACGACTTTGCTTGTTGCCTGACTATGTCCCCATAACCATGATGTTATCTGGTATCAGAGTAAGTACTATTAAAGGAGACATTGATTTTAAGTTATAATTTTGTCACTTCTATAAATATAACTTATATATTTAATGATTTTAGTGTCCAACAATTAAACAAGATGGAGAAGCAGAGCCCTTCGCACAGGAAGCAAAATTCTTCCTTGAATCTAATCTTCTGCAGAGAGATATTGAAGTTATATTAGAATCCGTTAACAATAACAATTTTGTGGGAACTATTGTTCATCCCCAAGGAAACATTGCTGAAGCTCTATTGAGCCAAGGATTTGCTAGATGTGTTGCCTGGTCTCTAGCCGTTATGAAGTCAGGTAATTTATTATCCATGATACTTTTTGTTGTAAAAATATATCAATGGTAATTGATACTTCAAACTTAATTTTTTTTAAATTTAAAGTTAATATTTATTTGGGAATCAACAGGTGCATCAAATCTGCGAGCTGCCGAACGTACAGCAAAGGAGGCTAAACTCAGAGTCTGGACGAATTACGTTAGTAATGCCCCTGTTATTCCTGCAAAGGAGAAAGAATTTAGTGGAACAGTCTTGGAAGTCATCAATGGTGACGCAATGGTTGTAAAAACTGGCAACAACACACAAAAGAAAGTTTTCCTATCAAGTATAAGATCACCACGAGAAAAGTAAGTTGTTTGATCATTTATAAATGAAATCACGGAATCTTTGACAATTATACACACATTCGTCCATACACTTGATCTCAAAAACATGAATGCATCCTTCTTTTTACAAATTAGGAATTTTTGTAATAAGATTTGAAGACACTCCCCCCAGTTTTTCTTCCTGATGCTATGTAAAACAAACTTTATCTATTATAGTTGTAAAATGGCAAAATACCTATTTCTTAATTAGGTTTGAATGAGACTACACCAAATTGATAAATTTTGTTGTATTGTAGGAACTCAAATGATGAAGAAGGCAAACAATCACCTAGGCCAAAAGGTTTTAAACCTGTGTATGATATACCATGGATGTATGAGGCTCGTGAATATCTGAGGAAAAAATTAGTTGGAAAGAAAGTTAATGTCACTGTTGATTACATTCAGCCAGCAAAAGATAATTTCCCTGAGAAAATTTGTTGCACTGTAGTAGCTGGTGGAACGTAAGTTTGAGCTTTTATACTATTCAAATATATTTTTTTAATTTCTAATAGTTATTATTTTTTACAGAAATGTTGCCGAAGCACTTGTCAACAAAGGTCTTGCTACTGTTGTTAGCTACAGAAATGATAATGACCAGAGAAGTTCTCATTATGACAAATTACTTGAAGCTGAACTTAAAGCTACAAAATTAGGAATTGGTGTTCATGCTAAGAAAGACATTCCCACCCACAGGATTCAAGATACTAGTGGAGATGCTGCAAAAGCCAAGAAGTTCTTCCCATTTCTAAAAAGGGCCCAAAAAACTGATGCAGTAGTAGAATTTGTAGCGAGCGGATCAAGAATGAGAATTTATATCCCAAAAGAATCTGTCATAGTGACACTTCTATTGGCTGGTATTAACTGTCCTAGGGCAGCAAGGCCAGCTGTCGGCTGCCCAGGTATGCAGGCACCTGAACCATTTGGAGAGGAAGCTCTCCAATTCACTAAAGAGAAATGTCTCCAACGTGATGTCAAGGTTACAATTGAAGAAATGGACAAAGCGGGCAATTTCATTGGATGGTTGTGGTTGGAGAATGAAAACCTTTCCGTTTGTCTTGTTGAACAAGGGCTTGCCTCCATGCACCATACTGCAGAAGCATCAGAGTTTGGTAGAAGCATTAAGAGTGCCGAAGAGAACGCGCGTAACAAACGTTTAGGTATTTGGAATGATTACGTTGAAGTAGAGCGAGTAGAGAAAGTTACTAATTCCCGAGTCATAGAACGTGTTGTTAAATACGACAAAGTAATTATAACTGAAATTACCCAAGATGGAACTTTTTACGCTCAAAACATAGATCTGGGCTCGAAATTAGAGGCATTGATGGAGGTCATTCGTCAGGAATTCAAGAATAACGCCCCATTACCAGGTAGTTTTGTGCCTAAACGAGGAAATATATGTGCAGCTCGCTTCTCCATGGATGAGCAGTGGTACAGAGCTAAGGTCGAAAAAATTGTTGAAGATAAAAAAGTTCACATTCTATACATTGATTATGGTAATAGAGAGGTATGTAAGTTATATATATTCTGTTTACTAAGATTAATGTATATTTAAAAATATACAATGTTTTATCAAAAATTAACTTAGGTCATCATATTAAATTGTAAATAAATAGCAAAACTAAATTTTAAGAAAAAAATTTCAGATTGTGAATTACTCACGTTTGGCTCAACTACCCGCTGGTACCGAATCTGATCAGCCCTATGCTACAGAATATGCTTTGCTAGGAATAAAGTTCCCTGTTGACCCTGAAGACAGGCTAGAAGCAGTTCGCGCTCTTTCATCAGACACTCTTAACAAGAAACTACTGGTCAATGTTGAGATCAGGGGCAATCCATCCTCTGTTACTTTAGTAGATCCTGCTACTAATGCTGATCTGGGAAAGGTGAATTTGTAAAAATATTTAAATATTTAAATTTATTTTGCTTGCGTTATATGATTTATTATTTTAGCGTGTTATTCTTGGTTTTTCTTTTAACAATATTTTTCTAAAGCTCGTATTTCAATACATATTCTTGACTTTGAGGCTTTAGGAAAGAAATTATTCCATTTCTATATTTTCTCAACAAATTCTTACCCAAATTAGTATCATAAATATAAACTGCGTAACTGCGGTATAACAAATCTTGAAAGTAGATTTAAATAATAGTAGGGACTTTATATTTTTAATATAATAATAATCTTGGTTATAATTATTGTAGAGGCATAGCGAAATTAATACCATACTCTTTCCCGCAGAACCTCATCAAAGATGGTCTTGTATTAACGGAGAAACTCCGTGAGCCGCGCCTCTCTTCTCTCATGGCGGACTACCGCAGTGCGCAAGAGCAAGCGAAGGCATCGCGGCTGAATCTATGGCGGCACGGCGATATCAGTGAAGACGACGCGCTCGAGTTCGGCGCTCGCCGCTAGCCCCCTCCGGGCCAATGGTACGACGCCACCACTTCGCCAGCCCACACCCTCAATTGTGCCACATGTACCGCGCCGCACGCAGAAATCATCATCTACACGGCCATATATGAGTTCTTGTGAAGTGATCGTACCAAGTGACCGTTTAACAGTGATGGTGCCGTGATGAATTATTTCATTTCCTTTTTCCTAGTTTTATATACTACTATTGGATGAATTCGTATGCAATATATGATAAAATAAGCTTTTGGTTCAATACCATATTTTGTTTCTACAGTTTTTTTTAATATATTTACATCAACTACAACTTACAGATGTTTACTGTATTCAAGATTTTTATATTAGTTGTTGTTGTTTTTTTTTTATTACCACAAATATATTGTTAAGATTGGATATCCATCCATAAGCTAGCTAGTGTTATAGTAAATGTCTATAAATTTAGTACTTTATTGGATGTTGCAAGTTGCCATCTGTGCTAAGAAAAATGAAATATTTGTTGACATAATTTTTTTTTACTTTTACACAAACGCGTTTATGTCAAACTTTATACTTCCATTTCCAGAAACATTAGTTGCATAATCATAGTTAAGTGTGAATTGTCTAAATTATTATCATAAGTCTGATAGCATTACATGGCATTAAGTATTACATTTCAATATTGGGTACTTGATGTTGACTAGTTCTAGTTTTTTGTCATAATATTTTACACTTACATAAATTTTTCTTGAAAATTTACTTACTACCTCTCCTTGAGATAACAATAAATAAATGTAACCACACGGTACATGGTTTGTTAAACTATTATCTTGAAATAAATAATATTTTTAGGAACTATACTGGCTTATTCATTTTTATCTATACTAAGAACATTACCAAATTTTAATTTTAGGCATTACTATCCAAATTACTTTGTTTTAATAATATATGTTACAACAATTATCTCTTATCTAGTCTAGTTCAAACTATTATTACTTCTTGGTTTAAGAGTAAAAAATAAGAAATCAAAAAATACTTCATATATATTCAAAATATTAATTTCACAGCAATACAAAATATAAGTTAAATTATTTTTATTACAATACAAAGTGTGCAGTGTGCCAGTATATTAAGGCATACATTGGTAATCTTAGTCTCAAAGTAAATGATTAAATTTGGTGTATTAATTATTTTAAATGACCATAATATTATTGCTTTTAATCTGATATATAACAATTGGACCTATCTACATAATAAAGCATTCTCTCTAGATAAGTTACATTTCTACTTTCTATTTTGTACACTTTGATATTTAATGACATTCACTTTAATATAATTTATAATAAAAAAATTCTTAACAAAGATAAAACGTCCTTATTATTTTATTATTGGAAACTATGCATAGCTTTAGTATAAAAACTATGTTTACAGTATGTAAAAATCATTGTCATGTCTACTTTTGAAGCTCTTAAAATTAAACACAGTTCTATGTTTATATTTGGTATTGTTAGTACCAAGTAAAAATATCAAATAGTATATAATAAATAGAATAGTGGAATAGTCAAACATTAGGAAATAAATTAAAGAAACTCAGGATAAATAAAAAAAATGTTTGCTGTTGTTTCAATGATTTATATTAGGCATAGGGTAGAAAGTTTAATAACCTTGATACAATAATTTTAAAAGAGAAAGTTAAATTTAGAGCTTCTTACGAGTAAATACTTAACTGGAAAGCAAAGGAAGTACAGACAGTGCACTAATGCAACCAATTTGGAATTAATTTATTTTTAACTTTTGATAATTATCCAGAACTTGCTTTGTATGCATATATAATTGACTTGATAGAATTTATTGATCTTTTATGAACAAAAATATAAACATTCTCCTACTTTGTAATGTAGAATGAAATATTTCATAGAATTAATTCATCATGCTATGCATTAACTTATTTATTGAGACTTTATGACAAGAAAGTATGTACCTTCAGGTAAAATTAAGAATGAAACTTCATAAACATATCCTTCCTATTAAAATACTATTTAGTATTAGATTTTTTTACGCAACAACCACTAATAATAATAATTATTATCATATATATTATTTAAAGAATTATGGGTTACTCAGACAAAAGAGTACAAAATTGTGGCAAATAATTGTATCATTTTAGTGTGCATTATTGCTACTAGTTATTAATCTATAAACTAAATTATATCATTATCAAGTTTTGTGCAATAAACTGACATCATTTTCTACTAAAACATTAATTTTTTACTGTTAAATAACCTTTTTTATATCAAATCTTTTGATACTATGAAATTACAAATACTAGGAACAAGTAAAATTCCTCATACATTTTTGTTTGTGCAATCAGAGATAAATATAAAACTAAAAACATATTTTGTACATGATATCACAATAGTTGTATAATGTGATAGCTATACAATATGTACTATTTTATGGGGCTCACCTTCACTATCAAAAAAAGGGACTATATTTTTTGTTACTGGTGGCAAATTCACAAGAAACTGTTGTATTGTAGAATAATAATCTCGACATGTCCAAGTGTTATCATGACCTCCACCGGGCATTTCAGCTATCTTCTTGCAGACAGCACCACATCTAAAATATAGCTCTTTGGCCATTGGTGGCGGCACCAAAGCATCATTTGTACCACATACAACTAGTGTTGGTGTGACAACATTCCCGATTTTCTTTAAAGACAAATACTGAAAAGAAATTTATTTACTTATAATTAAATGAAAAAATGTTGTGATCCCACAAATATTAATACTTCATACAACAAAATAGTGCATGTCATTATCAAGAAATAGGCTATGATATGTATGTACTTTTTGTTAGTGACAATTTCGTATGAGTTTTTTATGAGTGGTAATTGCCTGCAGAAATAGAATCATGGACCCCTTGGATATACACATTGCACATTAATAATACCACAGAGGCAGTTTATTAAAGTATTTAAGAAAATCAAATAAGTAACATACCTTATTTTTATGAAATATTTGTGGAAGCCATAGTAAACATCTCCATTTGAGAATAATTTTAGCCATATCTGGAATGCTTGTAAAAGTATTTTCAATTACCATTGCCCAAAGTTTATTTCTGTTATGTAATCTAGAAGCAAGATCAATGGCTACTGCTCCACCTGGAAATAACCGGGTACAGATAAAATCATACTAAAAAAACTATTCTACCTTAAAACTTACTAAAAAGTAAGGTCATGTAACCATCTATGGGCATCGGGAAAAAATTTATAATTTAATATTTCATTATAGTTAGGGATTCTAGTCTTCTGTCCAATGCAACTTTTCTGTTAAATTCTTTGAGATAAAAGCTAAAACCTTACATGATTCCTGGAAAGCTCTCTGTTGTACTTTTTTTAAATGAAAATATCAATCAAGTTCTAAACTAAAGTTATGGTAAAGCTATTTACGACTTCATCAATATCTATCTATCTAGTATACTATATCTTGCCTGATTTGCCATGCATTGTGCCAGTATATTATTTACAGAATAATTTATAGTTTGAATTCCTGTAATTAATTAGTTAATTAATAGTTATTTAAATAATAATCTTACCTAAAGATCGTCCAAATAAGAATATTTTATTCCTGTCAATATCACTTCTTTGCATAAGATAGTCAAAGGCAGTTTGTGCATCAGTATACAATCCTTGTTCTGATGGTGACCCTTCTGAGAGGCCATACCCTCTGTATTCCAACATCAATATGTTAATATTGAGCTTGTGATAAAATCCAGATACATTTGCTAGTCTTAAATAAAAGTTTTAAATATAATGTATTAGTGTGTACTAAAATTCTCTAATAATTTTTTAAGACAACAATTTAATGTTTTCGTTGAAAATTGTATAACCTAAATTACATAGATTACACTTACCTTTGACCCATATTGCCTGCATTTCCATGAAAAAATATCATTGTAGGGACAATATTACTATTGTCTTGTTGCATAATGAGGAAAATATGAATTTTTACTCCGTCTTTGCTATTAATTTTAATACTTTCATAAGGAAGTTTGTAATTACTTGGATGTAAAACAAAGGCTCTAGAATCAGGTGGGTCATTTGGGTAGTACAATAGAAGATCTTGTGCATTATATAGGATTCCTGTAATAATAATATATTTACTATATGCAACAACTCTTAAGTATATATTATAAATAGCACAAGTTTTCCTATTGAGTCAGAACCACTTAGTTAATACATACTCATTATTGCCTAGGATTTCTCAAGGACACATATGCTTTAATCACATAGTCCACACTACAGTCCATCATCATCGGTGAAATTTCCAAAATGAATTAAATATCATCAAACAAATAAAAAAAATATCACCCATTCATTTTAGTTCTGTATTTAGGCATTAGATAACTTATAATGATGTAGGACAAGGGGATTTCAAATTTAAATTATTAGTGATTGTAAATTATGATACCTGAAAATCCCAGCATAAATACGATGGCGCCTATAGTTGATCCATAAAACCAAAACACTATTATACTAGAAAATAAAATAAACATAGCAACCACCCATAGTCTGTATAAAATTACTTTAATTATGTGATACATGTTAATTGTGTCTTTTTAATATATGTACAGAATCTCATTTTTAAATAAACAGTTATATGAAAGATGGTCATATACCATGAGAATGCGAAAACAAAATGTTTTCTTTAAAATTTAAATAATTCATCTTGAATTATTTATAAACATAAATACGATTTGATAAAAACAATCTTTTTGACAACGAAATTTTCCAGAGACAATTGATTATTGAGCAGTTCAGTAATATGTATAATGTAATGTTTTTAATCCTTTAAGTTATGAAATAATTTATTACTGGCCTTTTTTGCTAACTTGAAACTATCAAACTAGTGTCTAGTAATACAAATTACAAGCCCTTGCCTTTCAAGTTACAATTGTCAAGTTATCATTCAATGAGTTAAATCATTTGCATTCACGTCTGTCAGTCTTGACTCTTGACAAACAGATATCCCCGAACTAGGGATGTGAAAAAATAATCGATTATTAAAAAAATCGATTAACATCGATTTTTTCAAAAGTAAAAATCGTTTTTTTACGCGATTTTTATAATTTAAAATCAATCATAGTCGATTTTTCATCTGCCACCTCCCGAAATTATGTCTGATCTTTTATAACCCGGACCTCGAATGAATCCGATTCTTTGAAGATGTATTGATATAGTCGATGCATAGATGTTTTTTTGTAAAACATCAAAAGGATGATAAAACTAGTTAATTTTACAAAAACTCAAGTTTGAATGGAACACTATAATTTAAAAGTAAAATAAATTTATTCAGCAGTACAAGATTACATACGATTAAAAAGACAACAAAAATACTGCAATGTGCTACTGAAAAGGCATACACACAGCATTCATCAAAAATCACCTAAAAATATCAAAACGAGATTAAGTTAATTTCGATTTTGATTATTCTTTAACGTTAATTTGTGTTTATAATTTCTATTCTTTATTTTTAATTAAAAAAAACATGAAAAATAAAATATTTAGGGTGTTTATTTTGAAATTAATTCAAAAATTAGGAAAAAATCGATTAATAAAAAATCGATTTTTTTATGCAGAATATCACATCCCTACGGTCCGAACCTGGTTATACTGGTGGAGGTCGAACAATAAATAAATCAGATAGATAGAAAAAGTAAAAAAAGTTTGTCCTTTTTTCATTACGATTTAGGGAATTTTTATAGCTGGATCCAATATATTTTTAAGCTATTGCATAGCTTTTATCGCGGGCATCGAGCGTGGAGACCGAACTCAGAAATTCCGTAACGAAAAAAACCTTGCGCGTTAGAGCGGGACAGAACGCATACTGCGTATTGCGCAATATAATTAATCGTATAGGGGTAATATTGAAGATTGCGCAATGATTGAACGAAAGTTTGAACGAGTTTAATTTTTATTGCACCATATTTTTCCATTGCGATTTGCGTCGTGTAGGGTCAGTATTGCGCCATATTTTTTAGTCTGTGTTTCGTCGGCAAGGAGGACATACGCGTGCACGCTTCCCAAAAATGGCAGAAAAAGATAATACGAAAGTTAAGGAGAGAGAGTTTATCATTGTTTAGCCGTTGAAAAGGTGGTATTGCTTCCCTCATGTTTGTATTTTTTTTCTCAAGTCTTTTAAGAGATTTTCGTGAGTGTATTTTGGCCTTTTCGTGTACCAATCTTTCGACCAACGACGTGTTCGTTTACGTTTAGCCACAAGCAATAACACTACAGCTGCAGCTAAATCTTGTGTGGACATGTTGCTCGGGATCAAATTATTCTCCGACTGAACAAGAAAACATTGCACAATTTGCACAGTTCTTATTATTGTGCAATATAATTGATTGGATTCAAAACGCAATACAATCTCATTGCACAATTAAATATATTGTACAATGTTATTGTAGGTCTAGGGGCCGCTTAGTCTGAGTCTGGTAGAGAGGTAGATTGATTTAATTATCAAAGAAAAAACTTGAATTAATATCAAAGAAAAAAAAATACTGCATAAATAAATAATTATAATTACATAAGTTGAAAAAAAAATGCAATAGCTTTACCGCGGCAGTCCCCGAGTGCCACGCGTCTTTTTTCAACAAAATGCCTAGTGAGACACAAGTGTTGTCAATAAAATATAAATTCAAATCGTACGTTAAAGTAAAGCTACTTTACTTGCTAAGGCCTATTATAATACAAATGAATATTTAAATGACCCTAGTGCTTGTATATGAATTGATCCAGTATCAAGAGGTAACGCGACTGAATCTCTCGGCTGCATTTCCAGGCTCGGGGGCGATCCTCAACATCCACGACTGTTTTAGTAGAAAAGTGGGAGCAAACCGTGATCCATGTGGTATCGAATTATTTCAGTATAATTAGTATTTCTATTATTTTCTAATGTAGCCAAATTCACCTTTCAACGATCGGCCCAAAGGAGATTTACAATTTGTACCCCGGTAGGAAGTATCAGATGACAGACATGGGCACCGGGAGTCTATCTCTGATATCTCCGTAATTTAAACACTTAATTCTACACAATAAAAGTCAATTTAAAATCAATACTAATTTAATCATTTCAATAAACTACAAATAAAGATAAAAGTAATTAAATGTCATCCATGATACTTTTAATATTGCAGACAATTTAAACATTCATATACAATTAGTACAAATATTGATAACTTAATTAAATCAAATTAAACACACCAATATAAAGAGAATTGAGGAAAAAATAATTCTATTTATAAAAATCTTTACATTATTTAATATTTTAATTACCATTGTTCTAAAAATTTGTACCATAAAATCTTTTATCAAAAATTTTGTTCCATTTCCCTATTTCCCAGATTTTCATGGTAGGTTAAACTGAGTATATCTTTTATAAAAGTTATATATAATCAAATTGATTTCCTTAAGTCTAATTTTTAAAACCTTTACCATTTACTTAACCTTACACCATAATATAAACTTGTAATAATGATAACATTTTTATATATTGTTACAGGTTAATTTAAAATTTATGCATAAAAGTTATAATAGCTAATTTTAGCTTTCGTCTAAGTGAAACCAAATTTAACGGCAAAACAAAAGTCAGAAATGCTAATTAAATTTATATGTCACGCTGTAAAACTTAGTAGTTCTGTGTCAACAGTATCTATGACATAAGATGTATGTCATAAGCCATATTACGCACGTTTGACCAATCACAAAACGGAACGTTCCGTCTTACGTTTTACATTCTGAAATGCATCATATTTTATCAATGACACCGTTATTTTTTAACATGGATGGCGAATATTGTCGATGTATTTTCAAATTAGTATACACCTCTATTATCTATAGGTAGGTAGGTACCCTGTTTTTAGAAACCGTTACAAATACAGAGCAAAATTGATCCAAAAATATTTTACACATCAATGTTACATAGAACCATTACAAATTACATTACCTAACGTATCGCACTTATTAATAAACAATATTCCTCTACTTTTCGTCTCCCTGTCAAATTGTGAGAGAAAGAGACAGGTGATTTCTTTATTTTTATGTATATTATATATGTGTTGATATTACAGATATGAAAAGGATTTATATAAATTAAATTAATTGTATAAGCATAATAGAAAAAAGTTGATTAATATAATTTAGGTCCCGTCTCTTAATTGGGCCTTCAGTATATCAAACGCAAAGTCGATGTGCTATGATATATCTGATATATCCACGGCGATGCTTACTTAAAATAATAAAACAAATAATAATAATTTTTTGCTTCACAGCAAAGTTTATACATGACAAATAAATTATTATGCAAAATTAATCGGACGGTCTCGATACCCATTTACTACTAAAAATATAAAATTGATCTAAATTATATGGGACAAAAGCAGAGTTAAGCATTTATGTTATAAACCCAATAACATAAATGCTTAACTCCAGGGCAGAAGAATCTTAGAGCGTGGACAATATGAATTCCCATATATATGTTCTTTTATAAACTGTATGTAAAAATCTTTCCGTAACAAGTGTTATATCCGGATACAAGTGTATCCGTGTATCAAAAAAGATATTTTATACGTACACGTAATTTTATGTGTGACATACACTAAAACAATGTCACCTTAAAGCAAATTTGCATTGTTATGTTGCGCTGATTATTAGGAAAAATCTGATATAAACTAGGAGTTTTGTGTTAAATTTCCGTATAGCTACATGCAATTTTAGAACATTTTACTTAACATTTTTTATTTTCTGGTACTCGTAGAACAATTCTTGGACATCGACGAGTGATCTCTCAATTTGTGTCACGAAGTTGCTGGAGCTCTATATAAATAATTTTGATGAATGGATAAACTATCTCAAATTGTGATCACTGTGGCCTTAAATTTGAACTAAAAACACTTTTTATTAATTTTCTCTTGTCGACATTAGTGTTGACTAAGATAGCATGTTCGAATCCTAGTTATGCACGAATGCATTTCCATATTATCGTAACGTACGGTTACGTACAGAAAACAAAACAATGATAAGGACTTAAGTGTAATTAAAAATATTTTATTAAAAATAACTAATATAATTAAAAATTACCGTAACAGGGCAGCTCTTTTTGCTTGACACGTGGAAGAAAAGCATGTCTTCGCCTACAATGATGTAGGAGACACCATATCCGTCATCGGCTACTGGGCCGAAACCACCACCTGCGCCTACACACTTGGGGTACTTCTTTAGGTCCAAAAGGCTTGTTTGACCTGGAAAAATTAATTAATTTAAATAATTTATTAATTAAAAGATGAACAGAAATTTTGTACAGACGGGAAAATTATTTCATTTTGGAGCTTCGCTCTGGTTGAAGGAGCTATCTTCATCGACTTCAGAAAAATACAAAATAAGGCGTAAAATATTTATAAAGAATAAAAAAGACTCCTTCGAGAAGGATTTGAACCAGCGACTTTAAGGTCACTTACATCATACACTACAGTCCACCTCTCTACATATGCAGTTGTAGTAATGTTGAAAATCGTTATAGTATCAAACAATAATTATTTTGCAAGGAATTGAATCCTAAATTTACGACATGCCAATAAACTATGGAGACGGTATATATGTACAAATATAATTAAGAACATATGAGGTTTTTGGATGAAGTTTTTTTTTCAAAATAGTACATAGGAAGATTAAAGATATTGTTGTATTATCTCTGGCATTTAAATGTTAATGTGAATTGTGAACAACACACAGAATATTAATATTTTTATAATGAAATGATAAATTATAAGTGGCAATTGACTCATTCATTAAAAATGCGAAATGTCAAATCGTGTCGCTTTAATTGGACAATAACTTTAAGAAATATTTTATTTATAGCTTTATATGCATATGATGATTGGACAATTCACACCAATTGACCTAGTACCATGCTAAGCTGGTGAAGCTTGTGTTATGGGTACTAGGCAACGGATATACATACATATTATAGATAGATAGACATATAAATACATATTTAAACACCCAAGACCTGTGGTTAATTTTTTAATCAAAACATTACTCGATAATAATAATAATACATACGGATAGTTAACCTCAATTGTATTGAAGCACTTAGGAAGGTTGATGAGCACAGTTTTTTCACAAATATTAATTAGTATTGGTTTAAATATTCAATTTAAACCACTTCTGATTATAATTCAAAAAGCATCGCTAAATTTCTTTGAAAAAATAATTAAAACTCCTTTATTTGTTTAAAAGGTAAATGACAAATGTCATTATGGTCATTCAAAATTGTTGGCATACGAACTTCACGCATTTTCTATTTCTTTTTACTTGTAGATTGTCTTATTCCTATCTCGCTCGCGGACGCTATAATCACACTCCTAATTTTGTGTCACGGGTGCGCGCGCATTGTAAAATTTCACTCTCATAAATTTTTCATAACGCGCCTAAAGAAGTATAACTTCAAAAAGAATGATTTAAAAAACATGGAGTGGCCTTTTCGGTTTGGGCCTCAGATTTCTTTATCTGTTTCGTGATCATTTATTTTTCTAGACGTGAATAAAATAACGCTTATAAAAATATTATTTATAGTCAATAAAGTCGATTTCAAATTTCTTTTTACACAATTATCCATACCATAAGGTGTCTGACTGGTAGAGAGCCTCCACGGTTCATTAAACACTTCTTGCAGAAACGGCGAGTCCAATTCCAAGTACTTCGAGACAACGTAGAGACAGAACAAATGACGGTCGATGCCGTGGCCCGTCATCGCATCCTGACATCCAATTTTGTGCCTCTCACTCGCTGCCAAGAACAACTCCAGCCGTTCTGTGACCTACATAGACAATAATTTATAGCTAAACTAGCAGACTCGGCCAAGCGTTGCTGTGGCTAAGGTTTTTGTTATATTACATAGGAGTATACAATTCAAGGGACACGGTAGGAGAACAACAGTCATGGGGACCACCATACTTTTTTGGTGGTTCTGCCATTAAAAGCTTATGTGAAACGTTGGTATTTTCAACACAGCGCCATCTGGTAGAATTGTGACTGTCAAATAATAAACAAATAATTGGCAATAAAATATTATTGCGGGTATACATTAAGATGTAAGCTATCCTATCTTTTAAGTTAGATTGAAATCGGTTAAGTAGTTTAGGAGTCCCTGGCGGACAAACAACGTGACGCGTAATTTATATATATTAAGATAATATTTCTTCCAGACTAAAAGAAACTGTGGAGCTACAACCTTTTAGGTCTGAGGCTTAGGCTTCTGTATCTGTTTAATGGTCGTTACTTTTTGTTAATAGACAAGTAGGTCAGCCTTCCGTGCCTGACTGAGTCTAAGGGATGCTTTCCTCACGATGTTATCCTTAACTATTAGCGTGTGTTAAATTTGCATATAGAAAGTACATTGGTGCACAGTCGGGGATCGAACCTACGACCTCAGGTCAGGTCAGAGTCAAGCTGACGCCACTAGCCCAATCCTGCTCTAAATATAAAAATACACAAAGAAAAACAAAGATTTCTTCTAAGTAGAATAAGGTAGACGTAGAATTTTCTGTTTACCAAGCCATACACAAACATTTTGGTAAAAACCCATTGTGGGCTCGTCCAACTCGACAGGGTAGGTTTTTTCTTATAACCATAGATCACTTAAAAAGCTTTTTCATTTATATTAAATTTCAAATTTCCGGTGTCAAAAAAGTATTGGCTATAAAATATTCCTGCTCCCCATTCCATAATATTTAATTAATTCAATTAGTATTTAAAATTAACGATGGAATTACGAAATTTAATAACCGATTTAACCCAGGAAATGCTTGCGTATGTCAAAATCCAATATATATTTGACACACGGAGACAGACTTAGAAGTCTTGATTCTGAATCATAACCTTAGTACAGAAGATGTCAATATTTTAAAATATATTTCTTAATTACCGAAGCCTTGGGATCTTCCATTGACTTCACCCATTTGCAGCTCTCAATAGTACACGACCTGACCGTTTCAGTGCGACCCTCACGAAACAAGCGAGTCATGGAGGCCTCGTATGTCAAACAAAAATGTCCGGCGTCACGGTGATAAGCCAATTGCAGCACCATTTGTATGAAGGCGTCCGGGGACACTCGGAGGCCTTTCATGAAACCTGTAATCAATATTTATTGGTGACTATGCAGGCAGTACTTTAAAAATCGAAATTCCTACCAGTTCCCAAATCAAGGGAGAAAAGCGAGAAGTAATATAACTCTTTATAAGAGCCGAGTTATAAGGAAATTGTAAGGAATTACAACCGTTGCACAAAGTACCTATTTAAAGAATCAGTCATAATAATACAATCAACGCATAACACCAGAAGGATAAAGAGCACCCATTAACATTTCAGTGAGAACAAAATAATGTGACTGATATACTCTTTTTGCTGCAATTTGTGTACTGTTTACAGGACTGGAACTAACGTTGGAACTTTGTTTACGATTTATAACAACGAATAATTTTGGGGGTACGAATATTTCAACTTTATCCCAAATCTATCATTGCTCTAGAACCCTACGTGGGCTATTCTAACTCAACACACGTTTTTCTTTTAACTGTAACTAACTTAAGCGTTTTATCTATGGTATATTGAAATTTTTGGGTGCCATGAAACAAATAGTTCTTTTTTTGGTAACGAATAATAAGCTACTTATTATTCGTTTTGAATTTTTAAAGCAGTTAAAAAAGGGGAATTATCAGTAACAGGAAATTAAATATTTTATGTATAAAGACTTCCATGATAAATTTCGTAAATATTGTTCACAAATTTCACAGTTGACAGTTTCGTTCCATTAGCGATCCAGCGTTTTGAACCTACGACCTCAGTGATGAGATTCGCATGTTTAAACCACTAGGCTAACTTTGAAGCAGGGATATTCTAAGCAGCAAGCAAAATAGGTTAAACGCATTTTTGGGACGTGTATAAAATTTTTATAGGTTTTTGATATTTTTTAATTAATTCAAATTAAATTTTATATACCTTTTCCGTATTTAGTAAAGTGTAGTATCTTTAGGTCGACATCATTGAGTAACTTCTGGGCTACGTTGTACGATATATCTATGTTTTGAAGCAATTCTTCATTATTAAGATCCCATTGTAAGCGTACAGGGGTAGGCGGTGGTGCCTCGACTGTACCACGTGCGTTACCATCTTGTAAATATCTGTGAACGAAAAATTTATACTACATATTAGCATATTAAAAATAACTGTTCATACTTTTCATATATGACTTTCTTAGTCTTAAACTCCATAGATGTTGTGTGCATGTTTTTGATATTTAATAAGTAAAAAATTTGTGTCGCTAGAACGTTTTAGGTTGGGTCTCAAATTTCCGTATCTGTCTAGTGATTTATTTCTAATAGGTGATCAGCCTTCTGTGCTCGGCACACGCCGTCGACTTTTTGGGTCTAAAGCCGGTCACACAAAGTCCGTTGGTGCACAGCTGGGGTACCTACGACCTCAGGAAAGAAAGACCAGCCCTGCTCAATAGCTACTATTAAAAAAAATTATATAAACACTTACCCATATGTGAGCTCAGTTAGAATAACGTACTCCCAAAGGTGACCCATGACCGGCGCATCCGCCCTAAGGACATTATATGTATGTATATCTATCTGTGCGACGAAACACGACGTTTCTGCTGTTAGCTATGCTTAAATGTACTACATTTATTTTATAAAATAGGGAGAAAGTTGGAGGCTCATCTGAGGCACACTGCCTGAATGGTAGCCAGTGTATTGTCGGCCTTTTGTGAATTGGTACGCCCTTTTCCCTAAGCCGAATTGGAAATACTGCAGTGGGCAGCTGGTTAAAAAGCCTCAAAAAACGCTCGCTTGTGGAACGGACGTCGAGGTGGTACGGATGGAATTTCGTATTCTGCCATATTATATTTAGATTCAAAGTTTCTAGTTAGAAAGTTTAACCCATAAATCTTCGTAATGTTTTTTCAAGTGCAGAGGCGAATTAAAGATTTAAGTCGGCTTTTGGTACCGGTGACACTAGAGCTGGTGATTTCGCTGAACGAATAATTTCGCAATACAGTGAGGAAATGCCAGCATTAAAGGAATTAATTTATTGTAAATATTTTGTATGCTTTATTTTCACTACATACTGTAAATGTGTTAATAGTACTTACCAAGTATGCTCAGTATTGAAACCGACCTGGAAGTAAAATAATTATCAGACTACGGGTCATATCGGAATACATACCACGAAGATGACTTTGATTCTTGAAAAACCTTTTTAGAAACTAACGAAAACTTGGCAAAATGAGATTAATGTAAAAAGTGTAAATGTGTGTTATTCAAATTTGACTAGAGACGCTTTTGAAACTAGATTTAAGTTTTGAAATAGTAAAATACATAAATTAAAAAAATATATTTTATTGGGATAGGCTATGATTAGGATCAATTTTTATTTCCCTCAGTTGGATTTGTAATTTAAAAAACCAAAACAAAACAACGACGAGTGAACCAAAATACAAATTTACATACAGTACGCCCCAAATACAAATTGTTAACGATAATCGATGATGAAAATTATGTATAATAACTAAATTCGACACATATCTTTGAAATTCGTATCAATTTCGTAAATGTTTTGGACAGGTCACCGCACTATCAAAACTGACAGACGTCAAATATGATCTATTAAATTGGTTCTTCTATAAACTATGGTTTTATTAGAAATCACATACTGCTCCACTAGTACTGAAGCAAAGATTGAAGGACTTGTCGAACCAACGGTCGTGGCCTTTTCCGTGTAATAACGTGTGGCCATAGTCATCCAATGTTGAAGGGTCGTCTTCGTTGAATCCATATTCCTTGTCATCTGTTTTAAAAAAATGGTTGGTGTAACATTACTATGAGTACAACACGTTGCAGAGTAACTACTAATTATTTTATAGATAAAAAGAACAAAATGACACTTGACATTGACAGTTTGGTTTACAAAATCATAGACAGATAACTCTATGTATTATTTTGATATCATTGTTGCATCAATTACTTCTGTATGGGAGTTATCGATCCTTTTCTCGACGAAAGTTGTTTACGTGAGATGTTTTTAAACAAAAAGTACTCCAAATGAAAGATAAAATATTATTAAAAATAACGAATAAAACAACTTCAATGGAAATTACAGAAAAAAAATGATAATGTGAATGGTGTCCTAGATATCAGATAATTAAACTTTGCACTATTCTGTGGTTACTTAGACTATGGGCTGTTTTAAAGTATGAAAAATTAAGTGTTATTAAGAGTATAAAAGAGTAAAAATTTTTTTTTTTTAAATAATAATAGTTTTTGTTTAAAAATAAACAGTCGAATCGACGACGTAGCATGACAGTAAATAACGCCTTCGTCTAATCCTAATACTATTAATTTCGTTGAAGAAAATAATATTTTATTGGTAAAAACCAGAACGTTTGTTTACGTGTTTACAAGCATTGAACGTCATAGGGCCGGGTAAAACATCTTGATTAGAGAAGCGTTTTGGCGAGTTTTTGGAATTATGAAATTTTGATATGATTTAAACCCAATGCGGAGATACAATTTGTGTAGGTCCTATTATTAAGCCTTTATTGCTGACACCCAGTACAATATAATAACACTTATTTAAGTTAAATTAAAAAAAAAGGTCCTAGTCACAGACAAATAATCTAAAATGGTTTTCAAAGTCCTGTTATAATACTAACCTAAGCAAACATTAAAAGCAGCTCTTTCAATACAATGAAGAGAGGTCCTATTATGGCCACGATTGAAGTTTGTCTGTCGGATATGAGCCCAGTGGGAACGCTCACCAGCGGTTAAGGCTGCTACCCGCTCTTCACCGATACATGGCTCCGTTTTATCCTCTAATATATGTTGGATTTGACTGAAAAAATATTAAACACCATACACACATAGCAGATAATTTTAAAAATAGTGTTAAATGTAGTTTTTTTATTTATAGATTTTGGAACTGTATGGGGTAACCATGATTTACTTTTACATAAATAAATTTCTATATATTATGTATTGTAAATAAAAAAGGTGGCGCTGCAACACTTGGTTTCGGCATCAGATTTCTACATGTTTCGTGATAATTTTTTACGAATAGATAGGTAGGTGATCAGCCTTCTGTGTGTGTACCCGTCGACTTTTTGGGTTTAAGGAATTTTGTTTCCTTACGATGTTTTGCTTCACCGTACGAGCGAGTTATATGGGCAGAAACGACCTACGGCGATTATTAACTTAAATAAAAGACTTTTGAACCCCCGATTTGTACACATGGAAATTTATGTATTGTTTGCCATTTATTATTTAGTGTCTCTTTTCATCACAGCATAAATTGTGTTTAAGTTTAAAAAAAGGGTCGAAAACGTAGTTAAAAGAGTACTCGTACAATAGTCTAAGACTGCCTTATTTACAAATAAGGTAGCTGATATTGACATCAAAACTGGTAATAAATTCATAATACGTTTATGCTCGTAATTGATTTATAAATTCTGTTTTATATTATGTCTCAGTTATATATATATGTCGCAGCCAACTAGCTTAATTAGCCGTTCAATTAAAGGGCGGCCTTAAAGATGTTCAGCCAGTTGTTGATCAAACAGCTAGGCAAATGACTTGGATCGATGACGTTTTATTACTTGCCTAGCATGTTGACTGTTAATTTAATTTTAATTCCACTTTCTGCCACACTCAAACTCGAAACGAAACTTTTCAAACTGTCAATATGGCGTCGGCAAACTACAACTTTGATGGTGTTTTCCAAAGTTTCTTGAAAAACATCAAGTACAATGAAGAGTTAGTGACAATAATAATGTGAATTTGACTCAAGCAATTTAATTTTAAAAGAAATATTTCTTATGTGTGATATGTTTCAACTTTTTTATTTCTGACAAATAATGACTTTATCGTACGCATTAGCCAGCTAGTTTATTAAATGTTGTAACAAACGCTACCGCTGGATATCTCTCAGGCCGCTAATTAAACGGCGCCGTTTAGTTAAAAGGCTAGGCTGTTAATTGAACGGCTAATTAAGCTAGTTGGCTGCGACATATACATACATAGGTTATATATAGACATTGACCAGACAGCGTATACAATATTTTTTTTAATACTTACATTTGAATTTCTGCTGGATTGAGCAATCTACCCCTTGAGTATACGACAACTTTGAAGTATTTCCCTTTGTGGTAAACGGTGATATGCGCGGAGTCCTGATAGTGAACTAATTTATCTGTCTCTATCCCTGGGACACGTACTGTGTTAAATAGTCTTTCGTACTGCCAGGAACATAATGGAACCATGTTTTGAAGCATTATCTGAAAGATATTCATATAAGAGCACCTAGATTTTTATTGAAGTGAAACTTCTTTATCGACGTATGGGAGAAATTTTGTAGCAAATCGTCATTTTTTTCGGTTACGCGCCATGTTGCTTTTTGAAGTGAAGCTTCTTTATCGGCGTTGGAAAAAAAATTGCCGTCACATTTTTCGGTTACGCGCCATCTTTTTATTTATTATTCGACACTTAATATTTTAATGACAATTAAATTCATTAAATTCCTAACATATCTTCCTTTTTCCGTCCCTCTAAGTATCGGAAATCTGACTAAATCAAAGTTTTTGCGTAATTTATAGTCTATATTACATTATTTAAAACAACATTTACGTTCAGATGCCTCTTATCAATTTAACCTTATTCATTAAAGGGATTATAAATTATTGTATACATAATAGATATAAAAAAAAAGTGTGTGTGTACAAAGTACACATGTCAGAAGTGAAACTTCAGTGGCAAACTAATCTTGAAGTGTTGTTCATATTTATACAAATCTAAACGTTTAGATTTCCGATACTTAGAGGGACGGAAAAAGGAAGATATGTTAGGAATTTAATGAATTTAATTGTCATTAAAATATTAAGTGTCGAATAATAAATAATAAATTGTGCGTGTACTAGGTGTACACACGTAAGAAGTGAAACTTCTTTATGATCTTATTTTTCGAAAAATGATCTACTATATGCAACTTTACAGAAATTCGTTAAATTAGATAAAGTTTAACAAAAGGCTTTTATTATCATAGACATGAATACAGATATTTTATTTTACCTTATTACTACGAAGATTATTATAGAATTTCATTAATTGTAATAGAATTATTACTATCATTGAAAAACGTGACGATTTGCTACAAAATTTCTCCCATACGTCGATAAAGAAGTTTCATTCCAACGCCGATAAAGAAGTTTGACTTCATAAAGCAACATGGCGCGTAACCGAAAAATGTGACGCGTAACGAAAAAATGTTACACTACATTTTTTCCAACCTCGATAAAGAAGTTTCACTTCAATAAATAATAAATAATGTGACGGTAAATTTTTTCCAACGCCGATAAAGAAGTTTGACTTTAAAAAGAAACATGGCGCGTAACCGAAAAACGTGACGCGTAACGAAAAAATGTTATACTAAATTTTTTTCCAACCTCGATAAAGAAGTTTCACTTCAATAAAACATAGGCTAAAACAGGCCTATAGTACGTTTACGAATGGGGGTAAGGACTATTTAAATCGACGTTCTTATAGTCCATTGAAAAGTTACATTTGGGGTTGCGTTTTTTAGAGGACGCAATTTTATTTATGGAACATGTAACTTTTTGAATTTTGGATTTATGATAAAAAGTTACATAAACATAATTGTAGGCACAGCGATTTGCTACAAAATGTGTCTTTACAAGTTTTATGTACGATGGATAGTTTAGGAGATATAGCCAAAAACGTGGTTTTTGGACCCCAAGATGGCGGCCGGGGAACAAGCACTCCAACCCCACAAACTTGAGGTTAAGCTTGTATTGACCCCCCCTACAGGTCCCATAAATAAAATTGCATCCTCTAACAAATGTTCAGTTTGGCCCTCAAATTGTAACATTTCAATGGACTCTTAAGCGATCCCGGAGATTAAATTTTTCGCACTGTTAGGCACAGGTGACCAACCAACTCGCAGAAAACTATGAACGCAAGAATATGTGTCGTGATGTAAAAAAGGCTTACCGGTTCCAATTCTTGTCTCTCAATAAGCCTGCGGAACTTCAGAACGAAGTGAACAATTGTTCCAGCCCTGGCCGCCTGAATGGAAGTGGGACGCATTAATGTATCAGTTCCATAGAAGTTTGAGTTGACCATGAGAGGTGAGCGACCTCGCAGGTAAACATACTCCTCCCACCAGTCTGATACATAGTTGCTGGACCACCTGAAAAGTATTTACTTGTCGTCTGATCAACTATGTTATGTAAGAAACAGTAATGACCCAACTGACGTGCAACACCAACGAATTTCGAAAAATATAAGCATTATAAATAATAATCGGATGCTGAAGCCTGTACTGGACAAAAACTTTCACGGGAGCAGCATTATATATGATCCCTTTTCATTTATAGTAAAAGCAAGCAAGGAAAAAACTTATTTAAGAGAATTGGAACATTTACATTTTAACGGAAGACATGTGTTAGTGTTACATAAAACATCTCACATTACTACACGTTCGAGAAAACCTTGATTACGCAATTCAATATATTTCTATATCTATATAACTTACTACTTGTTGACTAAAAGGTTTAGTAATTTGATATTAAGATATTTAATAAATAAAAAGGTCAAACAAGTTCACATTATTAATGCAATGTTAGAGTCTAGAGTCATATCGAGAAATATTCACCTTTGTGCTAAAACCTTAAGCCAACAAAATATTGTAAAAAACGTACTTCAAACCGTATTTGCTGCGTCAACATAAACCATTTCCTTAAGTGGATAAATGATTAAAAATATACCTAGTCAATTCGCGATTTGTCAGGTGTACGAGTGACTACAATGAAAATGACCTTCTATCCATGACGGAGGAAAAATAATGGTTCACATCCAGGTTCTAAACAGTCTATACACGAGTATCAGGATACAGTAAATATTCATAGTTACACTAAGTCTTAGAATATTGTGAATTCGTGTGTTACTTAAAATTACTTTTTTGACTAAAATTAGAAATATTTTGTAACGTTTACAAAACACAATACTCCAATCTTAAGCGAGTAATGAGTACAAGTTAACTGGTTTATATGTTTGCTTATGTTGTATAAAGTATGGGCAAGCGTTCATTACCCTTTAAAAAACCATGAGCGGACTTCAATTTGCACAAATTTTAATTATTCTATTGGTTTACCACAGAATTAAATGTATTAATCGATTATTAATTTATTTATGTACGGGGTACGCTGATAATTTAGGCTATTTTTTATATGTTAATAGATCACCGACTTATAAGCGACTAAGCGGCGTGTTTTGGATGAAATTACAACACATTCCTGAAAATTATCAGTCGATTACATCATACATGAGACCTATTCGCTGCAGATCCGATCCGTTTGACAGCTCAATCATCCAGATTAGTACAAGGACGGTGCAGCCATACTTGAACGTACATAAAAATATATTACGAAAAATAAATATAAAAAAAAATAATTAAAAAAAATATGTAATAATAAAAAGATTTTAATATATAAATTGCTTTGTTTTTTTAAGACGGTTAAAAGCAAGTGTCGAAGTCTAAAAAGGTATATATAATAGTATATTTCATTACAAGTGCGGAAAGCCTGTCATTGCAAAGAGTTTCGACAAATGTCTACCCGAGCCGAGGCGCAGCCGAAGGTGAGGGTTGACTGTCGGAACAAGTTGCAATGACGGTTCCGCACGTGTACTGAACAACTATTTTTAATACAGTTGCGAAAAATTATGCAATTTAATAAAATAATAAAAAAACAATAAACTCAACTCACTAATCATTTATTTCTTATACAAATTATTGTTCACATATACATTGGTACAGTTTTTTATACTAACTGGAGAAGTTTTAGGTTGCATATTTATTTACTGTTTGAGACAAACTATTATTTATTTCGTATGATTATTCTTGTATATTTAATATATAATATAACAAACAACTAAACGCGCAAAGAACATTTTTGGAAAATGGCGCCCACCGTAAAAGAATATAAGCAGATATTTTTTTTTCTTCACCCATTCTGTGTAGGCAAAGGGAACTATGCCCATACGGCCAAGTCTTCAGTACAATTTTTTATTGATATGAAATGAAATTTAATGAGATGAAATGAAATCTAACCTAACTCATTGAATCAAATCATTAAATCTTATATTGAAACAAAGCAGTAGCTTCTTTTTAGAAATATTTGCATGAATCATAAAAAATTGTATGAATTTTTTTAGTAAAAACTTCGTGGTTGGTTTTTTTCTTTTTAATAGACATTATTTTGACAGTTGGGAAAGTAAACGCACTAGTTCGGAAAAGGTAAAAAAAAAACACGAGTGTGTAATAGCCCACATCCCGAACGCTATACGTCCCTGCAATACGCCACTTTTTGAGCAACTGTATTAAAAAATTCATTTACTAATACGTTTGACTTCTCATCCAGTTACGTTAGACACCGACCCAATATTTACGTGTTAGAGCTATTACGCACTGTCGACTTGTCGCTGGCGACTCGGTCGCCTCGTCGACCAAAACATAGGCAACTAGGCAGGAGACCAAGCCGAGCGACAGTATTCCAAGTACATTCGTGCAGAATGGATGTCGAAGAAGCTGCTATAGTAGCGCTACTAATCAAGAAAAAGAAAAATAAAAGAAAATCAAGAGAGTATTGGGTACATCCTTTGTTACAAGAACGAAGATCAAAAGGAATGTTTAAACTATTTTATGAAGACGTGAGAAAATACCCTCATAAATTTTTCAACTACGCAAGAATGTCTGTGCGTTCGTTTGATGAGCTATTGTGTCTTTTGAAACCACATATAACTGGCACAGATACAAATTTGCGACCATGTGTTTCTTCGGAAGAAAAATTATTTATAACTCTAAGGTAAGTGTAAATTTCATTGTTTTAAAACCAGAGCTTTTAAGTAACAGTGCTTGCTCGACTTGCAGTGGCACTACCGTAAAAGCGTTGTTTAAATAAAAATATAAGTCTACAATAAAAATATTTGAAGTTATTACATATAATATGTAAAATAAATGTAAATTTCAGGATTCCAAACAGTAATACAAATTATTATCATTCAAATAGTCTTCCATTTTATAGTAACTCTTTTTTTATTAATAAAGTTTTAACATGCAACTTAAACCTTTGAATTGGTAAGTCACTTACATGTTGTGGAAGTTTATTATACAGTTTTATGCTTTGGCCTACGAATGAATTAAATGTCTTTTTTAAGTCTGATTTTGGGAATGGCAAGCTTATGTTTATTTCTAGTGTTCATACTATGACAGTCAGATTTTTTTGGATTTTTATATTCTTATGAACATATATAATGCAATCAAATATGTACTGACATGGTACTGTAAATATATTAATTTCTTTAAATAATTAATTGGGAGTCACGCGGTTTGAGACCATATATAGCACGTATGGCTCTTTTTTTGTAACACGAAAATATTTTGTATATCGGCAGCAGTTCCTCACAGAACATTGATGCTGTAATTGCAGTAAATAAATAAAATAAAATAATTTGACATCATGTAATTATTGTTTAACTAAATCAATACTATATAAACTAATTTTAAATTCAAAGCACAAAAAATAAAATAAAGATTCAAAATAAGTCCAAGTAATCAGAATCTTGCGAGGCACTTGAAGTGGCAGTAGAAACTCGCGACTCTGAGCATTCTTGCGGTGAAGGAACTGAAGTTGGTAGAATATAATTACGCCAAACGGAGTTTGGATATACGTTATTTGGCGTATTGGTTCCGAATGAATCGATCATTGTGATTAATTGAATTTTCGCTGCTGGTTTTTTGTGATCAGGAATTTTCCTAAAAGACGATAAAAGGGACAGCAGAAACATTCTGTCCTCATCTTGTTCCAAAATGTCCGCGTTATTTTTACGAGTATCAATACATTTGTTCAGTGTTTCCAATAATTCTCTTGTGCCATCATCTGAAGGTTTTTTCTTCTTTCTTCCCACTATATTTTCCCTAGAGTACGGTCCTAAAGGTTCTTGATCAGTTGTCGACTTTTCTTCTTCCGTAATGCTACTCTCTGTATTTAAATTACCAACAGTATTTTTCAAAAACAACAGCTGTTTAAAATAAATATAGGGAGTTTTATGAGAAGCAGAAGACCCACTTTTGGTATTTTTTATTCTTCGTATTTCTCGAGCAAAGCAGCTTCTTATATTTTTCCATTTTTTTTTGAAGTGATTGACCTGTAAATAAATTGTATTTTTTTTATTTCAGATATCTTGGAAGTGGCTGCAAATTTGTAGATCTGCATTACTCATATAGACTTGGGATTTCAACTATTGCTGAGATAATAAGAGAAGTTTGTCATTTTATATGGGTTTTACTGAAAGACATGTGTTTGCCACAACATACAACAGAAAATTGGTTAAAAATCGCAAAAGATTTTCATTTACGAGCCAATTTTCCAAATTGTATAGGTGCCATAGATGGTAAACATATAAGGACTATAAAACCTTACAATAGTGGATCAGTGTGTTATAATTATAAACACTTCTTTTCTATCATTTTGCTTGCCATTTGTGACGCTGACTACAAGTTCGTATACATAGATGTTGGTTCCTATGGAAAGGATAGCGATTCTACTATATTTACACATTCAACATTTTATCAAAAGCTAATGAATAATGATTTACAAGTTCCGGAACATCAGCCTATTTCATCGATAAATCCAATACCAGTACCGTTTGTCATTGTTGGTGACGAAGCATTTGGACAATCTGATAAAGTTATGCGACCATTTGGTGGATCAAATTTAACAACAAAGAAAAAAATATTTAATTATAGGCTTTCTCGTGCTCGACGCTACATAGAATGTTCATTCGGCATATTAGCAAATAAGTGGCAGATTTTTCACAGACCTATTAATGTAAATTTAGATCTAGTAACAAGCATCACCAAAACATGTTGTGTTCTTCACAACTATGTTCGGGAAAGAGACGGATATAAATTTGAAGATACCCTGTGCATTCCTGGCTTAGAAGAAGTGCCACCAGGTATTCAAAGAGCTACGCGACGTGGCATGTCATACAGAGATATGTTTGCTGATTATTTTATGACTGAGGGTCAATTACCTTGGCAGATGAGCAGAATTCATTAAAAAAATAAATGACATTTATAATTTACCTATGTTTTTTTTTTCTTCGTCTAGTAATCCTTCACCTCCAAATAACTCCACTATTTCTTCCCACTGTGTTTTCTTCAAATCCCGATTCGAATATTCGTCACTTAATAAGTCCCAAATAGCTTTTCGGGATTGTATTTCTATTATAAATTTCTCGGTATCGAAAGCCTGAGCCATTTTTGTGCGCGACGTCCGGTCGTTACGACAGTTGCTCGCAGTGTGAATGCTTCCATTTGAAGCCGTGCTCCTATTGGTCGCCAGCGACCGGCGGTCGCTTGTGTGTCGCCACGACGCGGCGAGTCGCCCAGTCGCTTGGGCGACCGACGACCAAGTGCGTAGACATCTATTTAAACTGTAGAAACTCACAGTCGCCAGCGACCGAGTCGCCGGCGACTAGTCGACAGTGCGTAATAGCGCTTAGAGAATTTGTACATAATACGCATGCCGATAATATTGTCTTTACATTATAAATTATTATATATTACTAAATACGTACAACAATTAAATGCTTTAATTGCACCACTCTTCAAAACCTGTCATTCACAGAATCGCTACAGTTCAACAGACTGCAGGAAAATGTAATTTAAAAAAACGGGTCATTCAACTTTAAAAAAATATTAAATTGTAAAAAAAAAAGCTATTCGTAAAGATGTTTATACGTTCATAGTTTTTAATGACCTTTGATCACTCAATATTCGCTGCCCTACTGCCGGATTGCGGATCAAAAACACTATTGCGATCGAGATCTCTGTCCGTATCGCTAATAGAAATTACAAAGGGCCCAAATGAGATTCTTTGTGTCATAAGACTGATGGATTTTTTATAGACATCGCACTTAAATGCTTGCTGCCACTCATGTAAACCTGCAACGCCGCTAGTGTGTTGCTGGCCTCTAAAGATGCTGTGCGTCTTTTTATGTTATTTGTTAGTAGTTAAGACGCTCACAGCTGATAAGGTTAGTTTTATATAGTATTATGGAAATAGTAACAATGACATAATTATCGTAACAAAGGCCGTTTAAAAGTTAAGATGCTCTATCAGGTCCTGAGATAAATACTGACATTACAAATATTTGTACTGTCTAAAACACTACACAATATAAATAGATAACATATAGTGATAACCTTCCTTCATAAAGAGGTCATAAATATTCTAACAAGTCTTGTAAAATGTCAAATAAAACTGTATTTTTCTACATACCAGGACTTCAGCACTAAATATCTCTGAAGTTTTACAGCAATTGTTTCTTCGAAATCCTTTGAAAGAAGCTCCACTCTTTTATAGTTTTCATCGTCGAGAAGTGGCCGTACACTCAGTAGATACTAAAAAAAATACATCGTAAACATTTTCATACATTTCAACCATTGGTCTTAAACTCACATTTCTGTGTTTCCTTATAACATTACTCATATACTATACTTTACTATACTTAATTTGTCATTGTTTGTTTTTTATAACCTTTACGATACCTATACAATATACAAATTAAGGATATTATAATGCAATTTCAAATTTAAAAACAATAGGAAAAATCAAGTGTTAATGAGCGTGATCTGTTTAAAATAAAGCTTTAAAAGTGTTTTGAGATAAAATGATTTCTAAACAATCATTAACTTATGAAATAATCCCATTATATATTATAAACATTGATTTTTATACATCAGTCACATGTCACAAAACGGTCACAGATTAGTCCTAATTCTGTCTTGGAGATTAATTTCGTCGGAGTTTTTATATTTTATTTTATATATAACAACTTGACGTTCGTTCATGTGTTAACAAGCATGGCACATTACAGAGACTGGTGCGACGCCATCTTGCCCACGGAAGGTTTTTGGCGGGTTCTTAAAATCATGAATGTTTTTTTTTTTGCATTCTTAAAGCCAATATTTAACAAAATTAAAAGTAACTATTTGTGTAGGTTCTCTAGTCACTAACACATAATCTGTAATTATTTTAAATTTGATCAAATAGCCTGTTGGTGATATACAAATATCGAGACAACTTTATTGAAATTTGAATTACGATACAGTGGTACCTCGACATTTTAATTCGTTCCGCAATTACTGGTATATCAAAGCAATTTTACCCATTGATATTAATTGAAATGCCATTAATCCGTTCCAACTCCCAGAACACCACCTCAGTTGTATTTGTTGAAAATAAGATAATGTACGCTTTAATTCAATAGATATCATCTTCTTCGGAACCATGGTTATAAAAATAATTGTGATAATGTTTTGTAAATGTACAAAAATCAAAAGACGCGAACCCAACTTCAAAATGCATCTAAAACGATGGAAATTAGGTTAAAGACTGAGGTCTAGTCTGAGGTGGCTAAAACTGTTAATATATGTGCAGTGTGCGATTCCTCGTATCTCAAATCTTGCTCTCATCTCAAAGCAAAATATCGCAAAACACACTCGTATATTAGGGCACTTATATATCGAGGTACCACTGTACAAGTAAAAATACATACCCTATTCATTGTATCTTGAACAGATGGTAAAGGCAGTCGTGGAAGAGATCCTTGAAAACTATAAAGGCGTGGCTTGTTCCAACCAGACAGCACTTTTACTACGCTCACCCAGATCATTGTCTTAACAGATATTCTTGAGCCAGGGGCACGGGACTCGTACATCCATCCCTAGGACGGTTAGCAGATTACAAAATTAAATACATAACTAATTTTCTTATAAATATATTTTCATAAATGAAGTTTTAATCATTTAAAAAATTAATAGTTAAGGTTTAATTTGATTTTAAGCTGATTCAAACAGCTGAAATCATACAGCGACATACATATTGCAAGCGCTCTGAATGTAAATGAAATGACGAAAGTTTTAAAGGCAATCTCTATTTTAATACAATTTTTTTTTTGAAATTTTCGAATTTGACGTGTAATAACATGACCTAGAGGAGTTTACATATGATTTACAAAATGTCTACCAAATTGGGGTCATTGACGAAAGTAAAAAAAATGACATTGTTTTTTTATCAGATTGCGGAAGTGATTTTACTACATAAACTTATTACGAAAAGTTTATCGTAAAATTGGCACGCTTATCCATAATTTTATTGATGAGCTAATTAAAACAGTTGGTTAGATAAATAACTGACCGCAATCAAGGTCTAACTGAGATAATAACATTAGATACGAGATTTCTAGGAAAACGGGTACTTTAATTTTATTACATTTATATCTTACTGTCGAATATGAAAGACTAAGGGTAAGATTTAAAGTCTAGAAGTAGTTAAGTATAACTCCAGTACTGTCAAATCCTATTTATGACATACGGAAGTAACACTTAGCCATATGTCTCGACTGTCAAACTGTGGGTCAATTTTCAGGAGTAGCTTACCTTATATACATGTATAATATATATATTTATTTTTTTATTGTATACAAGATATATTTATTTATTGTATACATGTATAACGATAATACACGAGCTATTCTACATACATAATTATGTTCAGGAAAATATGCAAATGTTAACTTTATAATAAGGGTTTAATTATGCTAATAAAGTGATGTTGAACTACGAACATTCCGTGAAAAAATTCAAAGTAAAGCTTAAGTTTTTAACTTTAATACAAGACCACAACTTGATTATTGAACCTATACGCATACGCCTTTATCTTCGTAATTTTTTGATACGGAATCTTTTGGAAATGCGATATATAGTTAATTAGTTTCGTATTTGGATAACAATCAACTGATTTTTTTTATTGATTTCCAACGAAATTATTTGCATAATAAATGTAGAACTATGTGAAAACAATTAAGTAGACTTTGGATATACTTAAAGATTCTAAATATTGTATTTTAAAAGGTCTATTTTATGACTAATATTCAAAGAAAAATTATTTTTAAAATACAATAATTAAACATATTACCTTGTACATTAAAAGCAGCTTTAGGATGTACCTCATCATAAAGATGACAGTAAGCCACATTGTAAGAGCTGCTAAAAGACAAGCAATTACTTGCCACATTGTAGAATCCCTAAAAAGATCAATGAAATAATTTCCTAATTTTTACATTGAAAATAGATAATAAATAAACTGCTAATGTGACTTTTAAAACCTTCCCTTTTGGGGCAAAGTACCCCAATAGCACCAGCATTTCCTCATTGGAATTAGTTGCTATAATCATATAACTGCAGGGTAATGCACAATAAATTTTAAATGCTAATGGAACATCATAATAAAAATATACTTTGAGAATACAGAATCAGTATTAATTTTATAAATAATATGCTTACTTTAATAAATACATGATATACTTACCCTGGTAGGATTGAGGTAGCTTTTTGTACTAGATCAAATGGAATATTAAATCCACCAAAGTGTGCAGCCACAAGCAGTGTCCATAGCACATATAAGGACTGTAGGTGTCCTGGGTATACGCCATTGTGAATGCTGTTCTGTTAGAAAAATTATAAAATCATTATTTTGATCAGGTTTTTTATAATGATCCATAAAAATAGTCTTTATTATTAACAGTAGGATACTTACTCTGAAGCGAGCTAGTCGTTTCTTCCAGGAGCGTAAGCCAGACTCCCATACTAGATAGAGAACTTCACGGTCAAAGTTAACATCCAAACCATCATGGGTAATAGCAAAAGAAAATGCTACAGCTGAATGTGCTTCTGCCATATTAAATTATTAATCTGAAACAAATATGCAATATATTATATTATGTTGATACACTTCCTCACCATCAACCAGTATTACCAAGAAAACCATTAAAATGCTGTTAATCAAGCTTAAAATAAGAATTAATATGTTATTCACTATGTACTGCTTAAAGAAAAAGAAGCAAAACTTAATAGTAATAATAATCGCCAAGAAGCTGTTAAAGGTAAAAATGGATATTCAATTTCAACACCCATGGGTGTGTGATATTTATAAAATAACTTAAAATCAACATTTTAAGTTATTTTAATTTAAATTAATGACTTAAAATATTGATTTTAAGCTGTAATTAAAATAAATGTAATAAAAAAAAACTACTTCAAAATTTATCAAGTTTGGTAAATGTTGGAATTTACTACCTATTAAAGAGAAGAGAGAGAAGAGAAATAAATGATTAAATAGGTGCAAGTTTAATAAAAAACATGAAAGTTTCAAAGAGGTAGGTAGGTATTTGACTAAAAGTGAAACTGCAAGTACCAAGCCTCAAATATATTTTAATATACACATACAGTCGCGAGTAACACATTCGCTTTGTCAAACGCACACACGCCAAGCTTGTGTCAAAGTCCAAAGTAAAACGCGAGTCGCAACTCGTAACTTTGCGTTGAGCGTTCTACTTAATAGCTACGTGGACTGGCATAGAAAACCCACTATTTATTCATGAATGTATATTGAATGACATAAAATGATCAAAGATGTGCTTGTTAAAAATACTGCCGGAATATTATCATAAAACTAATAGTACTAATAACTTACCCGGAAGAAATTAAAAATAGACGAGTTATTATAAGCCGAAAATATTACACTTTCACTATCTACTCCTATTATATATCGGATCTAAACAGCACTTGCAGAACTAATTTCTAATTACCGATTAATTTTCAAATCTAAATTTTACATCATGATTTATTGAGATAATGTCTAATATCTTAGACAGTCATACAAGATGAAGATAACGACAGCCACTGTATCTAATTCGAAAAAAAAATCTGCAATACGTTTAGTGAAGAAATGCACAGTACCACAACTTATACAGACCAATATAATACTACGTACACAATACCGCTAGCTATTACGAATTATTAAGTCGTGAGAGCCACAAGGCTCAAATCAAACCATAGAGTGTGTTATATATATTATGGCTTTAAGTTTAACATCAAACAGCTACCTGTCGGTAGTCAAAAGACACTAGTCTACAACTTTACAGACTACAGTCTAAAGTCTACACTGTACACTTCTACGGTACGAGCACAGACTTTTACAGAAGTGTAACCAACTTTAGATTACAAAAGTGCCCCTACGGTCTAGGAATCTCGATTTTGCAGATAATTCTTGGTGAAATTTTTAAATTAATGTTGAGGGGAATGTAATGGATTAGCGATAGGTTGTCTGTAAAAAAAAATAGCCGCAATAACCTGTAATTCATTTTTGTATAATTAAATTGCTGATAAAAATTATCTTTTACTATTATATATAACTGCAACTATATGTCCCATTTTAAAGAAAATTATGTAAAGTATTGAAAAAAAAATGCCAGCTCTCAGTCAGCCGCCACATCAGGGTTGCCAGGAATAAACAACTAAACAACATTGTTAATTATTTAGTCATGTTTTTTTTCTAAATTTTAATACAAAATTATAGTTTTTAAATATAATGATATATTAGTCATTGAATGGCTCGTTAATTTTGTAAACTAACAGTCAAATGTGATATTTCCATTTTGGCACAAGAGCTGTACTCTTTTTTTTTTTAATGGCTCTGGCACGATTTGTGCATTAGCCAGCGTCAAGTATAGGATTTTTTTATAATTCGTGCTTGTCTTTTAGAAATTCGACCGTGTCCTCCATGTACGGTTTAAGCACTCGCCCGGTACCGCACAACCCTCCCAAAGGCCGAGAACAAATTTAAATTAAATTAAAACTTGCCCTCGAACCGGGAATCGAACCCGGTACCCCTCACCTAGCTGCCACTTAATAAGACCGCTAGGCTATGAGGCCCCTAAGCTGTACTCTTTTCAAAGTGTATTTCTTAGACAATTGACATTGAGTTCTTAATGTTTAATTAATTTAAAAGATACAACAGAAAAAGCGCGGGAAACGTTGGTCGTGGCGGGTTTGTTTTTCCTTGTGAAATTTTTAAATTTAATTTAACTTGTATAAAAGATCAGTTTGTATATATTTTTATGTAGTAGTTTAATTTAATAGTTTTGTTTATTCATTTGTGTATATATTCTACAGTATCTGGTAAGTTTGTATACTTTTTCCTCAAGGCCTGGAGTCAGGCGAAAAAATGGACGAGCCCCCGGATACCGGGGGCTCGGCCCCCGAGGTAGCTTGTAATATTATAATAGAAAATAGATTTTCTAAACTGGACGAGTCCAGTGTAGATACAGATGTGGATCAACGGAATGACCGAAAAAGAATGCGACTAGGTAAAATTTGCAAACACTGCAACAAAAGGAAAAAAAGATTCGATCCGACGCGTCGGAACAAACAAAAGGACACTGATTGCTCGTGCCAAATACCGGAAATTGAAATTCCCTCAATATGTACTGGGCTTAAGAACGCTAATGCTCTAGATAGTTTTCAGAAAAAAGTAGACCGTGTAGATACTGCAACTGTTAATACCCCACAGCACCTATCACCTCCATCAGACGTTTCTCAGTCCATAAAAAATCCTACAGGCCGAACGTTTTATGAGGCCTATGACATAGGGCCATTCGTAGTTCATGCGCAAAAAGTTTCTTCAGATACGGACATCCCCTCCCTACACCCCGTCCAATTTGGGTATTTCCTCAAGAAAAATTCTTTTAAAAACATAATTAATGGTAGCATCAAAAGGATAGGCAGAAACAGAATTTCCCTATCATTCTCTGACCACAAATGTGCAAACGAATTTATTAATAACCCTTGCCTGGCAAGAAATAATTACAAAGCTTTTATTCCCTCATTTAATGTGACCCGAATGGGCCTGGTGCGAGGCGTTCCCGCGGAATGGTCTCCCGAAGAGATATTAGACAACATCTCTCTGCCTGTAGGCAGCGGAGGAATTATAAAAATTAGACGATTAAATTATAAAGTACGTAACAGTAGCCCTCCTCAGTGGAAGCCATCACAGACTATTGTAATAACTTTCGATGGTCAAACCCTTCCTAAACATGTATTTGTCTGCTACAATGCTCTGCCCGTAGAACTTTACGCATACCCCACTATTCAGTGCTATTCTTGTTGCCGATTTGGTCATACTAAGTCTAATTGTAACTCTCGGCCCCGCTGTTACAAGTGTGGCCAAGGCCATACTGGGGACACATGCAACATACAAGATGATGCCGCGTCTTGCTGTCTATGTTCTGGTCTACACTTTGCTACAAACAGAAAGTGTCCAGAATATGAACGGCAGACTAAAATTAAATTGTATATGGCTTAGAGATGTGTATCTTACGCAGAAGCAAATAAAGTGTATGATCCAGTTTCAAAATCTTTTGCTGATATAGTTAAGTTTTCAAACATCCAGAATACTCCTAATTCTCCTGTCCCACATGTATCGCCTTCCTCTCCCTCGATTCCGTCGTATAGTAGATCTTATAAGAAAACAATATTTGCTAAACCAACATCCCCCAAACTAAAACGACTGGGGTATAACAAAACAGAACACTTCAATTTGATAAAGGACTACGACTCTCCAGCTCCTTCTAACGGGGTCGCTTTAATAAACAGTAACGTTAACAATAATGACATAATCTCTGATATAATCCAACTTTTGACTGAACTGATATCCAATTCTAACTCTGACAACAACGTAACCGAACAACGCCGCCAAACGATTGCTTCCTTAACTCAATTAAAATCCTCTTATGCGTCACGAACGCTAACAAATAATCCAGTGGAATTGCAGAAGCGCTATCTGCAATAAAAATGATTTAATCCATTTGCATAATAAATTTGAACCATTTGTCTCAACTCTGTCGGAAACATGGCTTCGACCGGAATTGACTTTTCGAATTCCAGGTTATGTTATTCTCCGACAGGACAGACCTGGGGGTCTAGCCATATTGGTGTCGAAAAGTATTCTACATACACTACCGCTTTTGCGTAATTGTATTGTCGAAAACGCTTCGTTCGTAGCCAAGAGACATGTCGATACATTACCGCAAAGTCGACAGCGTAGATGCGAACTGCTGTTCGTAGCACCTTATTCCGTCATATTGTCTCTGGATTAAATGTATTCCTAATGTCACTTTTATAAACAAATAAAAGTTAAAACTACAATATTATTGTTAATTTGCAATAATTGCAAATTCCAATTATTGGAAGCTGCAAAAGGGACATTAGAATGTCAGCAAGGTCGGAACAATTTTCGATTTAAGTGGAATTTACTGAAGGTGTAAAGTGAATATATGAATTTTAATTGCATGTTTAATTACTTATGGTTTGTTTCATGTTTTCTCAGAAATTTAAGGCTACAAATAAATACAATATTTTGAAATTGCATAATCACGATATATAATAATTAGTAGTACTCATACTTTGATATTTTTAGGATTTGACCTCACAACTAATCTGCAAAATGAAGAAGCAACATATTTTGTTACCGCTTAGAAGAAACAATAGAAATAGTACTGTGGATTGATAAATAAAGAGTGAAAATAAGGTTGACTAGAAGTTGATAAGGAATAGAAGGATAGTCCAAGAAATTAAAAAACAATAGAAAAAAAAACGTAGACTAGTGTGAACACTGAAATTAGAGTTTGATTTAAGCTTTAATTAGGTTTGGTGTTTGTGCTTGAACATTTTTAATGTCAATTTGAAAGCAGATTTTTATATAAGTGTAGATTTTATTAGTGATTTGCTACTAGTTGGAATTATCTCTGTTTATGTCCAACAAACAATTTTAGTTTTAGTTAGAGTCATTAAGGTTGATTGTTTATAATAAATTTATACTTTTAGAAAGTGAGAATTGAAAAGCAGCAAGTACTCAATGAAATGAAGAGAGGGATTAATAAAAATTATAAAATAGAAACTTAGTCTGGTATAAAATTATAAGCCTTACTCAACCTTTGATTCCATATTGATGCTCTAACATCTTAGATATAAATTTAAGTTTGATGCTGATTTTAAGTTAATATTTATGTCAATTAACTTTTGGTTATATCAGTGATTTGCTACTAGTTAATATGTAAATGCAAAATCTGTTTAAGTAAGAAATGAATAAACATTGTATGTTATGTATTTGTCAGTTTTATTTTTGGTAATTTACCTATGTCTTCTTTAGTAGGAAAAGCCATTAAAGTGGTTAATAATATTAGTTTATTTTACAAGAATATACAGATAATGCATATATGAATGACCCGTACCTACTAATAGTTAGGAATATTAAACAAATAGGTAGCAAAATAAAAATGTTTCAGTTATGGTTATTATTTATTAAAATAAGGCACCAAATATCTTCCTTAACATAATGCAGTCTACATAGAAAAATAAGCATATATAACAACTTGTTAAACAATACAGACATTACTACTGAACACACACAGGTGCACCAAATTCAATGCATTACTACCTAATGTGGATGTATTCAATTATTCATATTTATATATGTAGATAATTAACTAATAAATGTAAGTGTTAATTTGCAGCAAAGTCAATATCTTGTTTGTGTGCTGTTATATACAAAAAATTGTTCAATTCATAAAACCTAACGTTAGATATTGTGATGATTTCATGAAATTACTATGATACCTACAGTTACTATGAATACATACTGGGCGATTAAAAAAACAGTGATTGTTTCCTTAACACAACAATTGTAAATAATAATAGTTTTTTTAAAGATATAATTCTTCCCAAAATCTACAAATCCAGTTTGTTTATAATAATATCTCATTAACATTCAAACTGCTGAATTTATTAAGATTAAATGTGGAAGAACATAGTTTCAGTTACCGTTTTCTGTTCATGAGGTAATGTTACTTAACCAACCATTATTTCATACTCCACTTGTCTTATTTTTACATTATTCATAAAATGCTTCATTCCCCATTTTCTGGTACATAATATAACACTTAAATTAATTAAAAGATAAGACTTTAATAAAACTTGTCCATTTGTGGTTTTTTTAAATATTTTTAGTTGTCTTATTAGCTTCTCTTTTTCTGAAAAGAAAATGTTTTAGTTAGTACTTTGATCAAATAGAAAACTGACAAACTAAACTAAGATCAGTCCAAGGTTTGTTCAATAGGTAACTTTAATATTAAAACTCTTTACTTAATTCTAAACTTAAAAATATACTTAATTTGTCACTTTGCTGCTTATTGTCAATTAAAGTTTAATAACCAAACAATGTCAGTAACTCCCAAGGGACTTGAATTCAAACTTCTCATTCATTAACAATATTATAATAACTTCTCTAGTATATTGACTTAGTAAATAATTAAAGAAAATATCTGCTTACCATTAGGTACTTAGTATTGCTCACTAGATTTTATATTTCCAAAGTTCATAAAGTATAAATCCACTTTATTTGATTAATTTAAATCAATATTATATCATTATCAGCTTCTATTATAATTACAATTAAATATATTTAGAACTTCTAATTATGTTCATTAGTGACTGCTTTCTCATCTGAAATATACAAATAAAATGTACAATCATTTTACTTTGTGATTACATAATATATGCAATATTAAATGGTATAGGTATGTATTTTTCAAATTAAAGAACAATTTCATGAACTTACATGCAATATAAATATCAATAAAAGATATCCAATATAACTAGGATTTACCTCTACTAATTAGCTGATTTTCTTGATATTTTCATATTTATCTGTGTCTATTATGTTATCCTCGCATTGATTCATAGAAAAACTAAAACTCTTAACTTAAAAATATTAACTCTAGTTTAAATTTATTAAATTATTATAATTACACGAGAACGTTAAAAAAAGACAGATAACAAATTAAAACCATTTCGTTAAAACCTCCAAAATATGACATGTTTTTAAAACGGTAGCCATTAAAGATGGCAATAGTTGTACTGAATTATTGCAAACAGCAGCTTTTGAGATCACGCTAAAACATGGCGGAGAAACGCCGTTTTTTCTACACTGCCGAAACATTAATTGGCCGTTGGCTACCGAATAGCGTCAGCGTTAATGTGTGTCTTTTCGTAGCACTGTCATGGCGTCGCTTATTGTATCCCGACTCACGCCTTTAGGGCCTAGGCTACCGACTGTCGACACGAGCTGTCATTTTCATACAAATTTAGTTTTCGACTTTCTACATACACTACTGTTAAGCCATCTTGGCATAGTCATTAAAAATAATCTCCCCTATTCCTTATTTCCACTTCCCTCATTCGGAGATGACTTATCAGTCATTGCTGCTATTGTAAATAAAATTTGTATAGTGTCTATTTATTTTTCTCGTCCTAATGTAAATATTTTTTCTCATCTTAATCAACTGTTCTCCATCCTTCCAAGGCCATTCTTAGTCCTAGGTGATTTTAATTGCCAACATCAATCCTGGGGAAGCACTTCTTCCAACTATTATGGAGATCAATTATTAGATATTATAGATTCTCATTGTATCTGTATTTTAAACACTGGGCTGCCAACCCGTGTTACTGGTCCAAGTGAAGGTGCAAGTGCGCCTGATCTATCTTTATGTTCACCTGATTTAGCTTCAACTTTAGACTGGCACCCTCTTGCATCTTCGTATGGTAGTGACCACTTTCCACTTGTAATTACTTTTCCTTCACACAAACCTACCAAAACCACTCGCTCTCCTCGTTTTAAATACAGATAAAACAATGCTGATTGGGAATTATTCAACCAACGAGTAGAGCAGAAAACTAGTACTTATTCTCAAGAAGGTGATCAGATCTCTGCCGAAATTCTTTCTCAGGTTTTGATTGAAGCTGCCGATGAATCTTTTTGCACTAAAACTAAGTTCCGATCGCAAAATCCTTCGCCTCCCTGGTGGGATCATGAATGTACAACTGCAATAAAAACAAGAAAACAGGCTGAAAAAAATTACTGTGAGGAGATGTCAGAAGAAAATTTCGAGTTATATTTAGAATCTGCCCGTAGTGCTAAAAAATTGTTTAAGAAAAAGAGATATGATGGTTGGCAATCATTTTGTGCCTCCATTAGCCCAGACGTCAGCCCGTCAGAGGTCTGGCGTAATATTCGTAGATTTAGATCTGCATATAATAATTCTCCCTCTTCTAAATTACCGCTAACCCTAGCTGATCAGTTCATGGATCATCTTGCACCCCCTTCTGTACCGGAACAGGGATTTCCTCCATTATCTATTCCTGCTTACATTTCCGATGACCAAACTGGATTAAACGCTCCTTTCTCTTTGATCGAACTTAAAGGTGTACTCAATAACGTAAAAGACTCTACTCCAGGAGAAGATGGGATTCCATATTCTTTTTTGAAAAACCTTTCGGACCGTGTGCTGATGCTGTTCTTAAATATTATAAATTCTATTATGATTTCTGGGTGCATTCCCAAGTCTTGGATCACTCAATCTATTATCCCTATTTTAAAAGACAATAAACCAGCCGATGATCCTTCTTCTTACAGACCTATTGTCCTTTCTTCTGTTTTAATGAAAACAGCAGAACACCTAGTTAAAATCCGTTTAGAATGGTTTTTAGAGAGTAAAAATCTATTAGCAACGTCACAATTCGGTTTTAGGAAAAGTAGAAGCACAATGGATAGCTTAGGTATATTCACTACGGACATAAGACTAGCTTTTTCAAATAACGAGTCGATAGTAGCTACTTTCTTAGATATAAGCTCAGCTTATGACAATGTTCTTATATCGGTTCTTAGGGGAAAATTGCTTCAATATGCTCAGTGAAAGATACATTAATTTATTTATCGAAGATGTCAAACTATTCCGGACTGTGTGGAAAGGATTACCACAGGGTTCTGTGCTCAGTCCTTTGCTCTATAACATCTACACATATGATTTAGAAACATCATTGCAGGCATCAGCAAACGTACTACAATAAGCAGACGATCTTCTTATATACAAATCGGGAAAATCGATTGAAAATAATTGCCAAGCTCTAACATCTTCCCTTTCATTTTTAAAATCATGGCTAAATTCGAATGGTTTAGACTTATCTGTATCCAAGAGTAGGGTTGTGTTGTTTTCCAGAATGCGTAGGCCTCCCCCGGTCCATGTAAAGTTCAATAGTGTTTTGATTCCCTCGACTAATGACGTCAAATTCTTAGGAGTAGTTCTAGATTCCAAGCTTACCGGTGTCCCCCATTGTGAATATGTAACTGCAAGATGTGAACGTAAATTGAATATTCTTAGATGCTTATCGGGCATCTGGTGGGGAGCGCATTCACACTCCTTAAAACTGATTTACAACGCCATAATCAGAAGTGTAATGGATTACGGTACTTTTCTGTTGGAACCAGGAAATATTTCTGGTTTTAAAAAAAATGGATAGTATTCAGGCTAAAGCAATGAGAATAGTCCTAGGAGCTATGAAGTCAAGTCCAATCAACTGTATGAGAGTCGAGTGTGTAGAGCCTCCATTAAGCTTACGACGGCAATTTCTGTCTGATAAATTCCTATTCCGTTGTATCCAATTCAGTAACCATATCCTAACACCTAAACTGACTTACCTGGCATCTTTAATCCCCAATTGTAGTTATTGGAAAAACAAACGCCCACCATGTTTGGTTGAAAGTTACAGAAGATTTACTTGTTTTGAGGCTCCTCACCAAGCGACTTCTAATCCATTGTTCAAATATAGTTATGATTCCCTTGTAATCTCTCCTGATATAGATACTAGCACAGGACTTGTGAAAATTGAGCAAAACCAAAAGTTAACATTTAACTATATTGTTGACACCAAGTGGCCACAATGGCATCGAATATTTACAGATGCATCTAAGCGTTCCAAAGATGGCTGTGTAGGTGTTGGTGTACTGCACTCTAATTACAATATTGTTCAAAAAACTAAACTCCCTCCTGAATCCTCCGTGTTCACTGGCGAATGTATTGGCCTTGTTAAAGCCATAGAATACATCCTTCTACTAAAACTTCAAAAAACTGTAATTTTTACAGATTCACTGAGTTCTTTAAATGCCTTAGCCCGGTTCCTATTTGGATCACATTATCAATTCCCTGTCATTTCCGAAATTAGAAACCTTCTATTAAAATGTATAAAAGAAAACTATTCCGTATCGTTTGCATGGGTTCCTGGTCACTGTGGAATATCTGGAAACGAGAAAGCCGATCGTTTAGCCAATGAGGCGGTGGAGAGTGGAGATGTAGACATTTTTAGAAACTATGCGCATGATTTGATGTCTCTTTCAGGGATTTATCTCAGGAATTCCTGGACTGAACCCTGGGCTCAAGATAGTTCAAAAGGTCGCCATTATCGTACTATTCAACCTTCTATACCCAGTAAGCCCTGGTTTTGGAAACTGAGATTCAGTAAAAAAGTTACAACAGTACTGTCTCGTATGCGACTGGGACACGTCTGCACCCCAGCTCATCTTACTAAGTTAAATATTAATGACAGCCCTACGTGCGATTGCGGATATGATGTAGGTGATTTAAATCACATCATATTTGTTTGTCCTCGGCGCGACCGGTCGGCTCTTCTTGAAGGTCTCATTTCCATTCAAATTCCTTTCCCTTCATCCATATCATGTTTACTTTCAACATTGGACCCACATGTATATAATCTTTTAGCAGCTTTTATCTTAAGTAATAATATAAAAATTTAGACAATATGAACGTAAATATATGTAAATATGTTTTCTTACACTCCTTTTGTATGTAGATTTATAAGAATTGATCTTTTATTTTATAGATTAAATATTTTCTATTCCTAAATTCCTTTCCAGCCGATAATTTTATGTTTTTACCCGTTTCCCTGTTTTTGACCCTGGGCCACAATGCACAAACCGTGCGGGCCAATTAAAAAAAAAAAAACAATTAATTTAATGTTTACATTTATTATATATTTACAAATATGGAATTAGTCGTGAAAAAATAGATACTCATTAAGTAAGAAAAATCTTAAATAAAAAGGAACAACAAATAAAGACATAGTTACCTAACAAATATTTTAATATATTATTATTCTTCAGTTGTAAGTTGACACAAAAGAGAATCAATTTCAGGTGTTATATACCAACAGTTTAATGAATGAATTAAATAAATTTGTTTTATTTAATTAATTTTTATGCACCTCTAAAACTTAAAAATAAGTGATAAAAAATGATTCGGGCTATAAGACAATCTTTGTGGGTTTATATGTTTATATTGCTTATAATTATTACAGCAAGCTATATGTATTTTTTAAATTTTATGAAGAATAGTTATGAAGCTAACTTAGCATCTCATAAACGATGTTTTTCTGAATTAGATTCCATAAAATATCAACTCAATGGTAAACTATTAAATAGTATGTGCAATTTAGTTTTACGTTAGTAACAACTATCATGACTTCATTCATTTTACTTTTTTCAGTTGTCACGGAATATAAAAATCGATTAGACAAACTATTAATAGAAACACAGAAAAGGTTTGACGTGGAAAAGGAGAGGCATAAAGAAATAATGGATAGCTGTCTAGCTATGAAACAACAGTCTGCAATTTGTCAGGTAATCTTTCTAGATTCTAATTGCCTCAATAAACGATAACATGTATAATTAACTTAAAAATTATAGAGATATGTGTGTAAACAACATATGGCTAGAAAATTCATGTTAACTAAATTGAACAATTTACTGTAACTATTAAATTATCTATATGGACAATAAAAGTTTACTTTTCTAAAAAACATGTCAAAAAGATTACTTGAAAGATGATTACAACTTCATAATTATAGAACTATTTTCAAATAAGGAAATATGAATTTCTGAAATGCCATTTTTTATTCCACGCTACTATTCATGTTTCACAACACTTTATTGGTCCATAATATCCATTTTGTTATACAAATCATTAACTGTCAACACTAATATGTTGCCCATTGCAATTGGCATATTATATCAAATTAACATTTATTTAGTCATATTGGTAACTATGTACACCTATAAACATCAGTATTAAAAAAAAAATTTATAAGGCTATTTTCCAAGGAGGCCTGATAACACAATACAAATTTTAAAGTGTATTAAATCAAAATGATATTTCACGTTGATTTTAATTAAGCGCTCAAATGTAGAAGATTAATAACTCGTTAAATAAAGAAAATTAAGTAAGCTACAGAAAATAAAGGCCATTGATAATTTCTGAATGTAAGTTTAGCCAATAATCCATTAGAATGGAGTTACTATATTTAAAATGTTCAACTGTGGGCTCTGAACCTCCTATCTTTACAAAACGCGCCAAAAGAAGTATAACTTCAACAATGTATATAATAAATATAAACTATACATTTACACAAATACAGTATTTACAATTTTCTTAACCTATAAAGTAATAATAAAAATAATTAAAGAAGAAAGAAGAAAATCAAAACAAATTTAAAAAGTTTTAAATTATCTAAATTAATTATCCTATCTTTTATATATTATATCTCCTTTCTATATTTTTATATTCTATACCTATAGCTGCTATTTAATGCTCTTTATTATATTTTCATTTAATCAATATTATTATATTATTTGCAGAGCCAGTTTGAGGATCTTCAGTATGAATGCAAGAAAATGAAAGTAGATCTTGATAATTTTAAAAGAGAAAGAGAAAAATTAAAGCCCATGAAAATAAACTACCTTTAAATTTAGTTTGAATTTGTTAATTTTTAATAGGTTTAATTATAAATACACTATTATTAATACATATAATAATCTAACTGTGACTTGTTAGTTTTTTAACTTGGAATCTTAATAACTTTATTGAAATTATTAAAATGTTTTTTGTATTATATTAATAATTGTGTTTAGAAAATTGTTTTCAAGTATTAAATTTTAACTTTTTTTAACAGGCAAGTAAGTAAACCTTATGCTTGACACGCCGTCGATTTTGATTTATTATAGGAATATCATGGCATACATTTAAATAGATTTAATTTTAAAAGTGATATCCTTTTAGACGTTTCTAATATTCTTAAAATTGAAACTAAACATACAAATATGAACACCTTTCTTAAACACATAAAAGCCCACTCGCTTTCAAGTTCTTACCAAAATTACTTTTAAAAGAGTAACTTGAGCGTATTATTAAAAATCACGTTAGAATTTAACAAAAAGTATGGAGGCCTTCCGTGATCAGTCTACTGTAATTACGTTTTGCGTTCTTTGCTGAAGAGTTGGTTCGACCACTATCCCTAATAACGACATCTATGATCGCTTTAACTCAACCTCGCCGACATATATATAAAAAACTTGTTCGATACCTGTTCTATCTGTGTAATAAAATAATTAATATTTAAGAGACTATGTGTTTGTCATGCCAACTCGAAAACTGACTTTTTCATTTTGTTATGCTATTATGGTTTCGTGAATGGAGTCATAATTGATTCCAAATTCTATAATATTAAAAAATCTGAAGTTAAACTGTAACGTACTTTAAAACGTCTGCAACAATTACACGAAGAGTGTAATATATATTGTATTTTGAACTTTTTAATTATTTTAGCATATTGGTACATTATATTGCCCATATATCTTAATACAGGTTTATAATAGAAAGAACATAATTTGTGATATGGTACGATTGCTTTTTCTTTCTTTCTTATAGTTCAATTATAGCAAAGTTTCAAGGTAGTATTTTGTTGTAGGCGCATTTTATTGTATAGTTATTATTTATTTCTGTTTTCGTGGTTATTTATTACGAAACTAACTTCATAAATATTAAGCCATTTCTTCGTCGTAATCAACAGATACAGAATACAATAATATCGATAAAATAAAAGATACAGTAATAAAAATTAACCTAAAGGCTTCCAGGAAAAATTACCTAATTATAAATGAGTTTAGAAGGACTTTGAACGAATTTGTGTCGCCAGTGTCACCGCTTGATGTTTTTTAATCCCTCGACTAGCGTCATTTTTACAATCAAAACATACTATCGGTTTGTAAACTTATCATACTTACTTAGAACACGAAGTACTTAATAGTGAAACGCACTATAATGCACTAACCATCTTCTATATTGTTCTTTTGGTCAAAGCACCAAGTCATTGTTTAGGAGCGCGGCATCCAAAATTAAACTAACCATGATGATCGCCAACCTTCGCAAGGAGATGGCACTATTAGAAGAAAAATAATCTTCTACACGCAGTTTTCTGGTTCAAGCTCTAGATGTTGAACAAGAGGAAGTCGCTATGGTGGTTTAGAAACCTTTGATTTTCCTGTATCTTCTATTCTATTTGTCGTCTCATTTTTATCGAAAACTAAAGTACCTATAACAAGGTCGTTACTTGATAGTGAGAAGAATTTAATCCTATTGGTTCAATGTTAAAAGAAAATCATAATTTGTACAAATTTGAAAAATGAAGACACGTCAAATTATCTTTAAATTCAGTCGCAGGTGAATTTGTTGGATGGCGCCAAAACCACCAAAATAGTGGGTGCTACCACAGATTATTAAAAACTGACACAAATCTTTCGTGATAAAAAAAATTGCGTGCACAATGTGGATTGCCCAAAAAAAATTATGACACCTAGTTGGTGACATTGAAGATTGCGATTTCGCTGGTACAAATTTATTCCATGTATTTTTAGTTTTGTATGTGGTAATTTTATTGTAAATCTATTATACAACAGGTGGGCTGAAAAGTTCGGCTAACAAAGAAAAAAATATTTTATTTGTATAGAAGTTGATTTAATTATTTAATATTCGCCTTCGAGAGCGATACAACGATTAAAGAGGTCATACAATTATTCGATGTAATTTTTATAGAACGATTTGTCTTTAGCCTTAGAATAGGCTTCAGTTTCAGCCATTACCTCTTAATCAGCACAAAATTTCAGTCCAGGGAGCATTCAGTCGTTTAATACTAGTAATGCCATCTATGAGTCAGCCTACGAACTTGTCAGCCCACCGATCACATCTTTTCAAAATTTACTTCTTCCTGTCAAGGTCCAGGTGGGGGAGGAGTAATGACCCCATGGTCCTGTTTTTTTATATCCTCTGCATTTAAACACGGAAAGCCATGAAGATTAAGTTGGCTATAAGCCATTGCAATTATGATTTTTAATTAAGTATATTTACGTATTGTAAAATTGTTAAATAATTATATATCATATATATATTAATATATTTTTAGAGGTTATCCTTCTACAGTGACGATATATTAGTAGGTACTATACCTACCAATATACTACCGTTACTAATTCGATACTTGTCGTTATAGAGCGTCAATACAATCAGTTTTTGCCTTTAAGTAAATTTGCTACCTGTGTTATTTACTTTATAAGTAGGTGATGAGGTAGATTTCCCTATCTTTATGTGATGATTAATGAATTTGTGTACTAACAGACAGAACATTTTTACTGCGAGCATCGCATTATCTTATCGCTCGAAGTGATTTATATTTCAGTTTTAAGGATAACCATATCCTTTCATGCGTTTCATCGCATTTCATATATTGAATAAACTTTTATTGAAACCTAAGTAGGTTAATTTAAATAGCCATTTTAAATTGAGTTTTTTCCCAAAAATACGATTTTGTTTTCGATATACATCGTCACTATTTTAAGATTAACAATGAAATTGTGATTCGTGTGTTTTCCTTCGCAATTACTAATAAAGTGTTACTCATGTACATAGATGAAAAAAATAGTGAACGGACGAGATATGAACGCACGATCTAAGTCGAAAGAGGCGCGTCGCCAGTCGATTGTTAAGGGAAAGTCAAGGTCTCAAGGGGCCAGTAGAAAAGGATGGCATAAGTATGAGTTGCATAGAGCAGGAGATAACTTGAAAAATACTATCTAATTTGAAACATTCGATTGGTTAGGTGCGTGGGGCAGCTACCTACTCGCCCCTGGCGATACCCTAGTTGTCGTTGCCTAGTTACTAAAATTGCTATTGCTAGTTAAATAGCTTATAGAAATTATTAAAACTTCTAACTAATCTTTAATCCATACCCTACACGTGGTACCCAGCTCGGCAATCTCTTTCATCTCAATTTGTTTAAAGGAAGTTGTACTAATTCTTCTGTCTACAGATTAGTGTTGTCAGTAAGAAATAAACTGCCATTTTTTCACCAATGCTCTACACATTGGCTTATGTCAACATTGTATTTCAACTTCCGCTGATAAATTTATAAAATGCCTATAAAACATATTTCTCCTATATATATTTACCTTTTTTACTTAGCTTTTTTAGTAGCAACATATGGAGCATTTTACAGAAAAAACTTTTGCTACAGAAAAAGAAAACTGGTTTTCAGGTTTATCTGTGCAATTTTTCTCTCCTTCCTCAGAGTTCATTAATAAACTAAAACCACTACTAGAATTGGTCCAGCCGACTTACCTAAAACATATTTTTCCATTAATTTATATATATCTAGATAAACAATAAGCCTCATTTATTCATTGAAACAACACTATCTACAAAAGAAACACACACTTAAAGAAAAAAGGCCTTCTCCATCTGTCCCTGTCTTAAGCATTTTCTGCCAATATTCCTCACCAACTTCTCTAAGCTGGTCAGTTCACTGTGCAAGAGAGCGACGTCCCTTGCTATTCCCTGGTGGGCCTCTCCACCTTTTTACATCAGTCATGGACAAACAGGTCCATCTGTCATGGTTTATAAGTGTGGTGTTGTTCGCCCATTTTAACTTCAATTTTGTGCAATGAGACAGTGTGTCAATCATTTTTGTTTTATTCATTATTTCTGTAATTCGTGTATTGTCTTTAGCTTTCCATATAGTATCTTCCATTCCTTACTGGCTGGCTTCCTACGAGGCTGCGTTGGGATGGAGTTTTCAAGGATCTCGAAACAATATGGGTTCGAAGTTCGACGCAAGAGACACTAAATCGATTGTGATGGCGAAATATACTTGAATTAGCTAAGGCCCACAAAGCATTGATGATGATGATGACGTTCCATTCCTCGTGGACATGTTGTTATTTTATTGTTTGTGCTCGAATCATATATCCATGATTAGTTGCCGTAAGAAACACGTGTCTAAAACTTACTTCTTTTTGTAAATTGGTATTTCTGCCTTCAGTATCTTCGTCCAGTCATCCTTATTCGTCTATCGACTTAGTCAATTTTTAAAAGATCCTAACCCAAGTAAGAGTAGAGACATAGCAATATTTAAATCTAATTTATTGTCCATTTTTAATTATAATTATTATTACTATAGGCTAAGTATATTGTAAATACTTTTGTGTATTTATATTTTAGTTTGTTTCTAATAAAACATTAATTTTATATTGACTTCAATAAATTGTAGTCACCATCACCAAAACAATATTAAAAATAATATATCAGTGGCGCTACAACCTCTTTAGGTGTTGGCCTCAGATTTCTGAATCTGTTTCATGATCATTTTTAAATCTAATAGGCAAGTAGGTGATCAGCCTCCAATGCCTGACACACGCCGTCGACTTTATGGGTCGAAGACATGTCGGTTTCCTCACGATGTTTTCCTTCACCGTTCGAGCAAATGTTAAATGCGCACCTAGAAAGAAAGTCCATTGGTGCACAGCCGAGGATCGAACCTCAGGTATGAGAGTGGCACGCTGAATCCACTAGGCCAACACTGCTCCACCATCACCAAAACACCATCTAAATACTACATACACATTCACGCCTAAGTAACGTCTAGGTATAGTGACCTGTCAATGCATCGCTTCACTTCAACTGTAAAAATTTAGGCGTCAGCCGAGTCTGCGGTTAGTCAATGTTCAAAGAAAATCTGACGCTTCATTGGAGAAATGTAGTACAAGTGGGTACCTAACTGTACCAAGGTACAGTTCCAGCTTTTCGGGATGGATGGTGGATCATGGTGAAACGCTGGTGACTCTCCAACTCTTTCCACATTAATGAAAATCAGCAAAATTAATGAAACGAATGAAGTGTGAAAAAATAATCTATACTAAGTATAGCAGTGAAGCCTTTTTTATTTATAAAGGTTTTAAATATCAAATTAAATCCTTTCTAACTTTGTCAAATACAAATAACTACTTATAAAATACAATTCTCTTACCATTACACCATTTACCGACTTCAAAATTCAAGATTTACAATTCGATGTATAATTTTGTGATTGTTATAATACAAGGTTCTTGACTACAAAATAGGAGAACAAAATCACTCTTAGACACCTATAAGTGCCTTCACGTAACATTTTATTCTACCTATACCAAAGCTCAGTCAGTCACTATTAATACCTGAGTTAATTTGAAACGAATATAGTCCAGCAATTGCCTAGTTGATTAGGTAGTAGGACGTATTATTATTCTGCGGAATTGAAACTTTTATTTGTCTAACAACATGAAAAAACAAGTTAAGTTCAGGAATAATTTCCCGAGTTAAGAAATAAAGACACATAAAGTAGTCCTTAAGTAAAAGATAAATAGACACATACTTTTGTGACATTATATATAAACATTTTATAAATGCTTTAAAGACTTCTATATAACCCCAAATGAATAAAATATATAGATTTTTCTATGTGATAATAATATTCACGTCAATATAATTTTTTGCAGTTACACGAGAAAAGTAATTGACAATTGAGCGGAACAAAGGGTCTAAAAGGGATACAAAGGGTAACATTCAACGTAGATATCGTGAGCTTTATAAGCTCCGCCCTAAGCAGTATTCTGGGCGTATCGTTCACCAATTCATAAATCGAATCGTGACAGAACGAGACAAACATACCAGTGCAATAAGCTTTAGAAAGAGACAAAAACTAATGTGTAGGGGGCGGTGCCTCGTGGTATTCTCTACCACAGCCGGTGTCGCCCCAGTCTCTCTCATTCGCCTCTCGTTTAGCGTCCGCTATGTAAACGGCCGTTGTTGTGAATCTAAACAAAATCAGTCAGTCATCGTTTTGTTGCCGTTAAAGTAGCACGTCGAGAATCTCGGGTTCAGTTTTTGATGATGTTGTTGATGTGAACGAAATTAACCGAAAATGCACGCGTTGTTTGGTGAACAAAGTCCTTATACCTACCGCGGAGGTGCTACCGGCGGATATTCCGCGGGTGTGACACCTTATGCCTACGAACAATACAGATACGGTTATGGTGCTCCATATCTTCATCCGCACCAGCAACATGTTGGCACCCCCAAAGATATGGTGAAACCACCATATTCATATATAGCTCTGATTGCAATGGCGATTCAAAACGCTCCCGACCGGCGAATAACTCTCAACGGTATTTATCAGTTTATTATGGAGCGTTTTCCTTATTACAGAGAAAATAAGCAAGGCTGGCAAAATTCAATTCGACACAACCTGAGCTTGAATGAATGTTTCGTTAAGGTTGCCAGAGATGATAAGAAGCCCGGAAAAGGTAGTTATTGGACTCTCGATCCAGATTCATATAACATGTTCGACAACGGATCTTACTTGCGACGGCGGCGCCGATTTAAGAAAAAGGATGCACTAAAGGAAAAGGAAGAAGCGATAAAACGACAACAACAACTGCAACAAGCGCAAGAAGCGTTAGCTGCACAAGAAGCGCTCAGTGCGGCGGATGCGCTTGGGCAACAGCGGGACGTCAAGCCTGATGTTAAGCCGCGCATCTTCGAGTGTAGACCTAAACGAGAGCCCGGTGCAGATTGTGCACGGTACGAGAAACCTAATGACGCTCTTGATGAGTTTAGCGAACCACGACTGCCTTCTTCCGCGGTTTATTGCTCACCACAACCGTATTCATTGGCGGCGGAGGAGTTCCGAGCGGCTACATCAGGCTGGTATGCAGCCCCCGAACCCCCCGTCGAACAGTTACCACCTGTATTTAGAGATCTCTTTGAACCACCGAGTTGTCAGCTAGCCGGTTTCCGCGGCGGTTCTCCCGTTCCTGACGCATATCGAGCGTCACCACCGCCACATCATCATTACCGCACCTCCGCTCCATCGTATTACCACCATCAAGCCTGCGTTGCAGCTGCACCCGCACCCGCTCACAAGTCCTACTGAGACATCGTCCTCAGGTGAGCATCAATTTTAACCTTATACTTGCGCTTGCGAATCTTATAGGCGTCGCGAACTAGCTGTGCGAGTTGTTTGATATCAACCCCTGCGGCCGAGGGGTGGACGTCGGACGTTGGAGCACTTCGTGACGTGGTTGTGGTTGCAGGAGGCCGGCATCATACGGCGCCGAACGGATTTAGCCGCCCGCGTCAATTCCACCGGATAAATATAGCCGGAGATGCCGCAGAGGCAAGCGGCGGCGTCGATAAGCACTGTTTACAGATCGGCGGCCGACCCTGCCGCCTCCCGCTCTGTTCACTTCTATAGGTATGTTTTAACACGTGTTTGAAATCATCCATAATGAATGCTAATGATATGGAGGAGTAGCCGTCGGTTCGGTTGGTTTATGACAGGTCGATAAATTTTTTGAACTTCTTTCATTAAAATTATATCCTACTTTTTTGTTGCTAAATGTCAAATTGCAATATTCTGTGATAGATAATTAGTAAGTTAGTCAAATTGTTGTAATTAGACTTATTCAATATGTTTAATACGAGTGTTACTAACATACCAACATTGACGCTTAGATATTATATAAGGTAGGTATGTACTTTAATTCTAAAATAAATTAATATGCAAAAAAATATGAATATGTAAACGGTATGTAAAGTGTTTCGTTGCTTTACAAAATTCATGCAAAATATGCTTTTCAAAATATGCAGTATGAAGTTTCATACAGTTTAATTCAGTGCCGGACATACGGACCTTCGGTTGCTGTGTATTGTGTTGAAGTGTAACTAACCATCTGGCAAACAAGTGCGTCGAACAATAAAAAAAGTTCTCAAAACTTAACAATATAAGTTCGACCAGATCACGTACTTTACACGTACACATGATAGTAATAAATAAAAGTACACATTCCTTTTGAACAAATTATACGACCAAAATGCACAAAAACAATTAAATCACAGTAATGTTTTATATGTATTGATTCATTTCGTATTACTAAGATAATGAAATTGGTGTCAAAAATCAAAATCCGAATCATGAAATCTTTATTTTCCAAATCGGATTGATTTAATCGGACGGAGAAACTAGCTATGTGCACGTCAAAAGTTACACGTAGAAATAATAACTTCTTTCTTTGTTTTTAAAAACATAGAGGTCTTATTGCTATTCTAACCTTGATAATTTTAGTGTATCTGAGATGCTATCTCCTAGGGGATGTCTTTGAATGTGCATTTCGAGTTTAAAGAAACAGACGAACTCTGAACTCCTTATTGTTCGTTACTGTTTATTGGTTGATTTTCAGCCAAGAAAGGTCAGACTTCCGTACCTGAAAAACGTGTTATTCAGAAACGTCAAGAAAATACAAAATCCTATACATTTTTGGCATACGGGAATCAACCAGAGTCAGTTACTTGAAGTCATCCCTTTCTCACGATGTTTTCTTTCACCAAACGAATGAGTTCGTTCGGCTATAAATAATTGGTGCATACTCTTAAGTATGCACCAATTTTTTAGACAGACACTTATGTCAGCCTTCAGGTTGTGACTGGTCTGTGCAGCGTTCTAGTCTACACAGGTGTTAGTATAAACCCCCTTTAATTTAAGTGAGCAGCGATAGTTTTATAAGATAGTAACACTTTATTACCGTGTAACAGAAACTATTACTTGCATCAAACACTCCGAGGAGCATTAACAAACTCGTAAAAGTTTACGCGAGAAGATTTATAAAACACACAAAATATTCTTACACTTTCTTGATACTTATAAAACCGATATCAAACTTTTATTTATTGGTATTAAGTGATCTCTTTTTAGTAGATTGTTTTTTTAGTTGTAAAAATGGTATATTCTACTTGGATGTTTATTACGGAATTAAAGTATAAGTGGATCTTTTAGATATTCAATACGCCAATAGCCAGGAAGCTACTCGTATATATTACATTTTAAATAAATTCTGAATTCTATTTACATCGTTTTATAATTACGTAATATTAAAGTTTTATTCTTGAAATGATTTTATATATCGTTCGTCTTTGTATTGACTGTATTTTTTAATTCTTTACTCTTTAGTTTTTAATGAATTTAAATGTATTTGTACTGTGGAATAGCACTTCGGGCACAAAGATTAGTGGTTTATTTGTGTTTTTGTACTCTTAGTTTATTTAAAATGTTTAAGCAATAATAAAAATTAAAAAAATGTTAAACGTAATAACTATTACACTATTGAACTTTAAAAATACATCCGTCGGACGAAGTTCTCGGATATTGCAGCCTCAGGGTAAAAAATTCTTTTTAAGATAGTGGGTAGTAATATAATTTTATTCAGCTCTGTTTTAAATTAATAGATAATAAAATAATTTATAATTTCATAGAAAAAATGTTGCGGTTAAACTTAACAAAAGAGATATAGATTGAGATTAAATTTTAAACGACAATTGTAGAATTCACACGTGTGGTTTGTGGTTTATGATATTTTCCTTTGAATAATTGTAATGTAAAGGGAGGGCAAAACTTGCTGAGTTTCTTGCCCGTTCTTCTCAGAACAAGGCCTCCTGGTAGTTTTGCGAATGGATGGCGTAGTCTTGCTCTTTCGTGAATTTTGTAAACGTTGTTGACATTCATAAGCATGCTCTAAGAAGCATCTAAATTGAATAAACGTATTTTGATTTGATTGACACGAATGCTATCAGGCAACATAATTCGGAGTTTTAAGTTAATACATAGTGCAAACTTTATTCGTTTGTAATATTTGAATTACATTAAGGATTAATCTAAGTTGTGCCTGGCTCTACGTCAAAAGTAACAATTATGCGGGATGACATAAAACGTCGCAAAATATTGTTTATTTTACAAATGTTTCAATGATGATAAACGACAAAGACTACGGCCTCTGTATGTATCAAACGAAATCTCAATAATAATATTGTATTGCAACAAGTTAATTATAGCTTAATATTACTTTATTGTAAAAATGTTTACACAATTGGAGACGAAACAAAAATTTATCGAAGATCGCTAGAACGGGTCTTTCAATATTGTAAATTTGTTCGGTGCGGCAATCCTACACGTTACCGACGACTGCGAATAGCGTTTCTTCTTCTTCTTCTTCCTATCCGGTACACTCTTGACAGAGCGGTCGTGATCGCTATGAAGCTGTGGTAATAGAAGGAGCAGATGTGATGCGCTTCACGACGTTTCGCCATCGTTGCCTATTAGAGGTCATCCTGCTGCACTGATTGAGTAAATCACCTACTGCAGACTTGATTTGGTCAGTCCAACGACAATAGCGTTTATGACATCATTATTTTGATTTTATTATTCGTTGTGTTAATTTTTTTTTGTATAGTAGTTTATGTTAAACCTCATTTTTGTGTTACAGTACCTTAGATTAATTTGTTTAAACAATGAATGACAGTAATGTGTTAATTGTATTATATAAAAATCCACTGATCCCAATTAGTAGCTACCAGACTCATAGGTTAATAAATGTATTAAATAAAAAGTGTAATTAAAATTTAGACAAAGTTATAATTTCTAGTGCTCAGTGCAACAATGGTGATATAAATATTTGATTTAATCATTTAGATTTAATGATAAATCAATAATATAATACTAACATTGGTCCCTATGGCAGTGTATAACCTCTCATGCTGGCAGCATTTTCTCTGTATCAATAAATTTTATGCCAAAAAACATAACTTTCCTTTTTGTTTTAGGTTAAACATTGATGGAAGCGTGGGATGAAAAAGGAAGAACATACGTAATAGGTGATGAAGTGAAAAATTGACTTTTCTATATTCATCGAAACGAACGAAGTTTTATTAACTTCTCTGGAAGACTTACATTAGTTTGTATATTTGTTTAACTTAGTTTAATAGTTAAATTATTGTATACCGATAAATTGTTTTAAATTTATACGAGTAAGGGTATTATTAAAATCATTTAATATTGAGTAGTTCGTTAGGGATCACTAAGATAAAGCCATAAGTTTATGTCGTCTGTAAAAAAAGGCGACGCAAGCAACTCGAATTGCTTATTATAAAATTTAATATTCATTAGATTAGACTAGCTGTAGTTACACATAGTTATACACTATCTAGTCTTTTTCTTTGAGTGTATGTAACGAGTGATAATTTGTTCGTGTTCTTAAAACACAAAATATTTTCAAAAATCGAAATATGTTTCTCTTAATATTTCATAAACTTAAAGGTGCGCTTACACGGGCAACTAAAATTGCTCAATTCCACAGTCAATACTCGTCAACTATGACGTCACGACTACATCAAGCAATTTACGGCAACGGCAACAAGCATCAATACTGCGCAATACAATATTGAGCGATATGGCGCAACTTCATCAACTAGGCAATACTGTCCTACACGAGCATTTCAGTATTCGCTCGCTATGGACGATATTGTTCTTGCTGCGGCGGCTTGTAGCGCTTTTTTTATTATTATCAAAACCAAAAAAGAACGAAAAGGAAGAATAGGCGTATCTGGGTGCGATTGTTTTTTGCAAAGAGGCCGCAATTTTCATTGTGTAAAGAATTAGATGACATATTATTCAAGAACTTTACTAGAATGTCACGAACAGACTTCGCTCTCCCCGCGGAAGCAAGACGGTAAGCCGCAAAACAAACAAGTGCGAATGAGATATATACAAAAATTGCTTGGAATTTCCAAGTCCATTGGATATTCGTCAATTCGTATCTGCGACATTGAGCGATACGAAATATCTGGAGCAATTAGAAGCAATATCGCCGAAATAATTTATTGAAATTTATTGAATTTACTGAAATTGCTTCATTAATTGCTCCACATCGGTCCATTTGTGTCGCCGAGAAATTATTGCCCTCGTGTAAGCGCACCTTAAGTCCATGACATGAGTTTAGATGCCGTTAATTGTAATACTTAAACTATCAAACAATCCAGTTACATTAATAATAATAGTATTTATATTATATTTCTAAAGAAGCGATAATTAATAAATAAATAAAT